ACATGATTTTCTAGGTTCTAGGTTTCATGGGTGGTCATTCCCCCCGAAGCCTCCTTGAAACATACCGATTGCAATGTTTACCCATTTCAAACATGTCTCTGTGTCAAACAAACTAGTCCATTTGTCACCTCTATACATACTATAGTGAACCTATGAATTGTTAAAAACACGATGTTTTATGGTTAATTTATAATAACAAGGGTTTTCTGAAGTGATTTAACTGGGTTGGACAAAAAGTTAGTTTGGGGAAAAAAGTATATCGGCTGATTAGGGAGGGGTGCATTGGCTTAACATGGCGTTGATTATTGACTTAGCTTCGGGATACCACCATGTACCTGGTATGTTACCATGGTGATAGATACAAAAAATTTCCCCGACGTTAATTTTTTGGCAACCCAGCTAAATCACTCCAATAAACCCTAATGATAGTATTTGCACAGAAAAACATCATGTTTTTAAATATTCATACGTTAAGAAAATGACAAATGCACTAAACCAGGAAAACAGGTCTTGTTGCCCCATTTTCGTTGCCACATTCTTACAGGAAATGTATAGATATCGGAGATATATATCTACATAAAAGTACTTTTTATTTTTATTATAAAGAAGATGTTATCTGGATTGAACATAAACTTAAACTTGAAAAACATCCGGACTTAATTATAGTGAATGTATGGGGGGGGGGGGGTAATGATTCCATCTTTTATTTTCTAGATTGGGCTCTATTTCTCTGTACCAGTAATTTGCCCAGTAGCCGGAGGGCAAAAATATGATCAATATTAAATGTAAAAAGTAAAAGCTTTACCCCACCCGAATATGGTAACTGAGTCAAAAACTCAAAAAATTGTAAGCAACATTTGAGACTAACATAAAAGGTAAAAAAATATTGTCCCTTATTTAAGTTTCAATAAATAATGTAGCTTGATCATTTGATTTCACTTGCTGTTGGATAGGATATGAAATGATTCAAAATACTAGTCCATGTCCGTGCGATTAGTATCAATTCATATAGTTTTGATTACAATCAGAATTCTCAATTTTGAGAATTCACTTTCAAGTCACTTTTCCTTTAATCTATCTGTAATCACTAATTAACTAGATCAATACATACTCGAATTCATCTGCCCACCAACAACACTGTTATGTAAGGGCGGAAATAAATCACTCTAATCTTGTATTCGGGCATTTGAAAATGACTCCTAAATTTCCTCCATGTCCATGGTAAGAGCCAAGGGTAGATGCGGGGGGGGGGGGCTGGAACTCTTCCTGGCCAAAATTTCAATCACATGCAGTTTTCATCATTTTTTGGACACTTTCAAAGAGCTCTTTGAATCTCAGGGCCGTTAGATGGGGGAGGGGGTGTCCAGATATCACTATATCTAGGATGTTGATCTAACATTATTTCTGCCGGGATACCTTCTTGCACCCCCATCCTTAGCCTTTTCCAAGTCGGTATTTTTTTTACTTATCTGATCTTGAATAATAGAAATCAAGATAGGAAAAAAGATACGACTTGGGCAGGGCTACCCCATCCACCCTATTCTAATCTTTCTGGAAACTACTCCCCATGTGGTGCGATCCCATTCTGATACTCATAGCATCTTTCTGTTTCACCTGAAACATTATCTCAGGACTGAGAAGAAATGAGATGTGTCATGATGTGCGATCGTGGCATAACTTATTAAGCGAGCCCCATATTTTGAATTTTACAAAAATTGATGCATCTTTCAAAATTCTTCAAAAATGAGATTGGAACTTCAAATAAAAAATTGAAAGCTCATTTCTTCTATCTAATGGTTATATTTTTATAAGCTTTCTTTGGGAGGAGGTGCCTTCGCACTCATCGCACCCCCCCCCCCTCTGCCGTCCAGAGAGAAAGAGAGAGAGTCCAGAGATAGTTTGCAAAGCGTGCTCACGGCTTTCCATGGAAAACATCACCAGTTGCAACTAGTGTCTTTTTTTCTTTTTAATTTTTTTTCTTTTTAAAGTTGCAACTAGTCTCTACAACTGTCATTGACTGAAGATCACCTAGACAGAGTTACATGTACATTATGTCAAGGTGAATACAAAATATGCCCTTTTTGAAATGTTCAGGATTCACGATGGTCAGAACAAGATTGTATTTTTGATAATACAAATGTATTACCTGTAAGCAGGTTTCAACGGATTTTGATACACATTTTTTGCCGTGTGTCCTTTTATGATTACAACCAGCAGTTTCCTAGATAAACATGGCAACCGGGAGATAGTCTTCGGGCTGACATCTCGAAGCTGTTGTTTATGACTTCAATACGGTACATCAATATTGATTTCCTCGCAAAGTATTCAAAAAACAATTCGTCTTTTGATAGGCTTTTTTCAAAAAATTTACACTTAGCTTACGTCATTTTAATTCATTCAAACCTAAGACTCGATCGTGCAAATTATGTATTGAATTGTAAATTGTATATTTACATTTTCCTCAATTAGTCACAATTTTTTCTCTAAATTCAATTGTATTGTTGTAGCCAGAATGTTTCGGGTCAAGGGACCAACTACGAAAGAAACTTATCAAAAGGATTAATGCAAATGCCTTTTATATGAATAAAATGTCAACTACGGGGGAGTTTCCTGCCCCTGCGATCTTATTTGTCCATTTAGAATAAGATAAACCATGTAACCAGGTCCATGTTTTCCATTCTGACAGAATTTCAGATTCAATTTCAAATTAAGTTTATTATGTTCAAAATCCCGAATGTCCCCGGGAGAATCTCTCTTCGAAATTATAATGTCAGATACATTAGATACAAAATAATATTGATATAACTGAAGATACTTAATTTGGCTCCCGTTTTAATTAGACGGATTGACGGAGTCAGAAAATCCGCCAAATTAAAATCCGTCAAATTTCAGTTTGGAATTTTTGTCAAATGCACTTCAGAAATTAAACTTGTGGGGCCCCTTTTCCTGTCAACTGAGCATGTCATCAACATGTCATACATTATCCCAAAAGAAATACAGAAAATATCTTAATAAATACCGTCCTAATGACATAAACCATTGGCTTTCAAGAGAATCTTTTGATAGCCCATGCATAAACATAGACAAAAATTAAACTTCAGTCCTGATTCCGCCAAATTAAATAGCCGCCAATATTTGAAATTGAGCAAATTCGTCAAATTAAGTAGCGTCAAAATAAGTGTATTTAAAGTATCTGTAAGGAGGGGGGAGGCTCAAGGCATAAAGATTACCGGGAGATACAAACCGGAGAAATAGATGAGATGATGAATATGTATTGTATGTTTTCCAGTTTTAATTATGTTATTTGTTTTTGGTCCTAATATGATTAGGGACCACCAATATGTATGTGACAGTTTTGAAGTTCAAAAAACGGGTAAAATTGGTTAAAGTTAATTGTATATGATAATCAGATTCAAAGATACACAACTAAAATAACGAGGAATTAAAAATAGCCCATAGACCATGTAGACTGCAATCATGGACTCTCTTGAAAGCGTAATGCTGTAATCAAGGTAATTTTGGGATATCCCGTCTTTGAAGAAGCAAAAACGCAATCAAACAGTTAATTAGTTATTGTGTGATCTAGATTACAGATCAAAGAAATCAATTCCAAGATCATTATTACTATGTATTTAGTTCGTTGTCTTTTTGAAAAGGGGTACAAGAAAACTATGTATTAATATATCAAGGGCAGGGTGCTACTGAATCTGATAGTTAAAGCGTTTGCTAGTATGAGGGGCGACATTTAAAGTAAAGCATTGTTTTAAATCCTGGGAAAATGCACTCCCCCGTTTTGCAAATATTGTGTGATGCCAATGAACCCTGAAATTTGTTTTTGTTTTCGTGAGCAACAAATATGTTTATGAAAATCTTGTGAGTCCAGACATATGATTCTCATTCTGTCTCAGCTTAGTGTTGATTAGATTTTATCCCCACTCTTCCGACGTCCGTGTCTCCCTCGTTTTTACCCTATATTCAGTTTCTTTTTAAACCAAATTTACAAATATCCGTTCACATATATAAATCAGTAGTTGTTTATGACAAGATTATGTTTATAGATCATCAAAAATTAAGGTAGCGTATTCTGTAATTTCAACTATATGTTAGCCCCCTCCCCTTCGCCGTCAGTAATGTATTGTTTAAAATAATACCGGCCAATTATTCTTTCCCCATTTTGAGCAGTTTTCGTGTGATTTTTGAACAAATATCAAATGTGACCCCACCCCTGGAATAAGTTAGCCCCCCCTCGCCGATATAGATGTCTAGTTTAAAATAATACTGTATCCCCTGGCCAATAATTCTTTCACCATTTTAAGCAGTTTTCGTGTAATTTTTGAGCAAATATCAAATGTGACCATCCCCTTATAGCAAATGCTGGATTCGGCCCTGGTACTTGTCAATGCGAAATAATGGGTGTTGATTAGTGGAAATACCCATTTAAACAGACCCTCTTAATTTATAACAAGTTAACAATTAAGAAGCCATGTTGCGATGTACTTTTCGTGACTCAAGTCGGATATAAAGTGAAAACATACTCTTTATGATTTGATATCCCGTATTTAGCTAAAGCAAAACACGAAATATTAACACGTGCGGCAAATTATAATTTAAATGTTTCCATATATAGCGCAAAATCTCACATGGCAATTTAATAACGACTAATTTTGTCTTCTGTCTAACCACGGCGTGCTTAGAGATTTCTAGACTCTAGTCACGCTCTGTCCACACCAGCTCTAAGCACGTCTAAGCACGCCTAGAAATCTCTAGATACACGGAGTTCCTAGACCGACTAAGCACGTCTAGAAATTACTAGAAATTCCACATTTGATGCAGTGATTGATGTTTACGCCGAAATGTGTCATAAGGAGGGACAATGTGACCACACTGCAGACATTGGGGCGAGTCTTTACATTAATCACTTGAATCTAGCAAAGTTTAATGCTGCTAATTAAATTCCCATTGCCTGTTTTATTTCAAAACAATATTGTATTATTATATACCTGTACATGGACCCCTTGTACATTCTACAACAGTTCTCTCTGTAGGATTACCGAAACAATCTGAAGATCCCTGTTGGTTTGTACTCCATACTTTGTTTCTCAGTCGCGTTCGAATCTCCGATCCAGATCCACATGTTACAGAACAAAAACCAGCGATCCACGGTTCCCAGTTTGCCCACGAACAGGCTATAATGAATTCATTTAGACAATGTCACCTTAGGAGAAAAGTAAAAAAATATGAAGCATTTCACCTTCTTCTATTTCAAACATAAGAGACTTTAAGCAAGCGATGTTTTTCACAACGTAACCGCGAACTCAAAAGTCCGCGAATCAGTACAGTTATGCGTATAGCGCGCATGCAAAACAAGCGCTACTTAGTCTACTTCAGATATCCGATCAGATTCAGTTTGGTCTTTAGAACGGGAGATTTGCAATTTCACGTTGGTGTCAAGGGGAATCATTAGTACTCAAGCCTATTGAATACTATGCTGGCAATTTTGAAAACGGGGCCATTTTACCTTTAGCATAGAATCTGAAAGCCACATTTTTCAAAATTGGCCATGTGACCTGCAAAAGGTTATGATAACCATGCCTAAATAGACTAATATCTATAGTAATGACTATGTACAACTTCTAACATTTGATGGATGCTGAGGATATATCTAAATGATTTGAAAGACAAAAGTATCACATATTTCAAAGAAATTACCAGAGAGCAATAGATGACACAATGGATTACATAGCATTCTACTCCTCTCTTTAAATCCATCAGGAATAGTAGACATAAAACATACAAATTGAGGGGATAAGTAGTCATATAAATCCGACCGTTGAATGCTGATTTTCGATGTTCCTTTTTCTTATTTGGATATTTATTTTTTATCATTTTCTTTGCATACACGGTCGTAGATATTATATGGAACAAATTGCGGGAAACGCTTTCCTGGCCTGTCTGGGTAACCACGCCAACCAAAGTCACATACCCTTTGCATTCGTTTGACTTCACTTCTTAAAAGAGAGCTTCGTCTTCACTCTTTCAAACTAAAATAAACCTGTGAACTCACCGCGCCAATCAGTGTTCGTCGGCCTAATTTGACCGACGTTCTATATATGGTCATTCATTCTGACGTCATCGTTGAGCCCGGAATTGACCAATGACATGCGCATATTTAATAAGAACGCATTTGCCATGTTACTTCAAGCTCGCTGATTGGTAGAAGAAAGGTCAGGGCGTAGGTCAGAAGTGATTTATTACCCAAACTGTCACCGGTACCCGTCGTGGGGGAGGGGCTACTAAACTGTAATATGGTCTCTACTAGACAGAGTGTAGTTTAACTAGACTCTGCACGCAGGGTAAAAGTCACACAAATTATCGATTTATTATTTTGGTCCAACATCAAAGTGTTAAATCTTACCTTAGACACGTAGACCGATTGATAATCGACGAAATATAATCAATTGAAGTATAATTTCATTATCGCCTACCATGTTGCTAAATGTTGTTTCCGGTAGTCTAAATGTAAACATGGATCGGAACGGAATCATAATTACTTGTTACACAGAGATTCTCTCATACTACTTACATTTCTCATTTCTGAAACGATAACTTTTCCACGTTACTTTCCTTCTTAACAACACTGCTTTTCTTCCGTCTGAATCTTCGTGTAACAAATGCTTATGATTTCGTTTTGATATAGTTTTACATCTAGACTTAAAATTAACCCGGAAGTGACTTGGTGGGCGATAATGAGAAAATTTTAAAATTCAAGCAGCGTGCTTGTATTTCTTCAATTACCAAGCGTTTTACGTGACTAATGTAAGATTAAATACTTTATAGTTGAAGCAAAGAAATTAATTTATCATTTGTGTGAATTTGGTTGGGTAGACATACCAGGAAAGCATTTCCCGCAATATAGAACCGCTAGTGTGTATGACCCTCGTATGCAATAAAATAAGAAAAAATAAATATCCAAATAAGAAAAAATAACAACAAATAACAGCATACGATGGTCAGATTTATATGACTAGGGGATACGTGACTACCAAATACAAGTTCACAAATTATGTTCCCAAAGATCAGGCATGCTACGATTTGGCACATAAGTCCAATATTAAATAAGCTTTCTTAAGGTATATAGATTATGGGGGCATTTGATATAGTATTGCCTGTAGTTGGGGGGGGGGGGGGGAGGGCGGTCATTATGAAACACCCTGTATATGACATTATAATTGTTACAAAAACGTTTACATTTGGGAAAAATCGATTTTTCTTTGTAAACACTTACTTCGGCATCCTTGAGGATTACATCGTTCGGTTTTTCGTTGCTCAGATTCTCCTCGACAAACTGGTGATCTTCCCCCAGTACTGAACATCTTAGTTCTTGTCCGGTAAACAGGTATTATGCCACCTCCACAAGTCACTGGGCAACGCCCACCATTACTGGGTATCCAACGACTCCACCTAGACCATTCACAACCTAAATAAACGCAGCCGTAGTAATTCATATTCAAATGTTTACCTGATGATTGGTTATAACCAAAATTATTTCATTTTGTAACAGAACAATGGCAATCCCTTTACAGCAAAAACGCTTTCATGTTATATGATGTGTCATATCCCATTTGAAAGATAATTTAATTCCGAAGTTATCTGGGAAATGACACTTTATAATCCCCAAGAAAGCTACATCGCTTCAAAGTTTTAATGCTTTGTTAACTACTTTATTACTGGTTAAGGGTCAAAATTGGAAATGACGAATATGTTGAAAATAGCCTAGACCTCAACTGCGCTGAATACAATAAGGATGTAATTGCCAAAAATGTGAGAAAAAAATGCTCAGGTAACTCCAGAATTAAATTGTCTTTAAAATGAGATATAATACATCATGTAACATTAAGTACTTTTCCCTGTAGAGGGGGGGGGGGGGAGGGGGCTGTTTTTTGACACCTTGTATATGGCTACAGTCTTCTTTTTCTTCCAAATTGTATGTAGCAAAATGTAATATTTACAGACCAAAAATTCGCGACATAAGGACTTTATTTCTAAATTATTATATATTATTATATCAATATTAATCACAAGGATCACTGGTATAGGATTGTAAGCTATTCGCACGAATAGCATATTTTTATTTCTGTATTTCCTAAATTGATTTTTCTTTTGATTTACTCACTTTGGCATCTTTGGGTATTACATCGGTCGGTTTTTTGTTCCTCTGATACTCCTCGACAGACTGGTGATTTTCCACCGATGCTAAAGATCTTACTTCTTGTCCGGTAAACCTTTATGTTGCCCCCTCCGCAAGTCACTGGGCAACGCCCATTTCTTGATGTCCAACGACTCCATTTGGACCATTCACAGCCTAATCAAACGAAATGATATATCATAGTAGTTCATACTAATTTTTCACTTTTACATCATTACATTCAAGAGAATTGGAAAAGTTATGTCAAATCGATAAGTCTCATCGTTTCCTACATATGCTTCATTTTGTTTTGATATTGGTGAACAAAGTGAGGTCATATACAGTAAAAAGGATCCAAACTGTTCCTATGGATACTATGCATATAGGTCCGAATTCGATAACATACTCAAACGCTCAGTTTTAGAATGATGTGCTTAAATTGTGAAAACATCACAATCCATCACTTATACGTATGGATGTTTACATATTGTGGATGAAATGAAATAAATATGAATAACAATTATCAACTCTGTCCATATCCTACTATATTTGATGGTTTTATTGTATTGAGCTAATGGGTATTGGCAATATTACTTCGGCAAGGGGTTTTCTTGCATCTTTGGGTTCTTCTTTCTTCAGACTCGCCACTGCAGCGCTCCGAAAGCCCAGTTTTACCGAATATTTTAACTCTAGTTCGGGTTTGAGTTTCCGTGCCTTCCCCGCATGTCACAGAACAAACACCCATCTTCCACGTAGTCCAATCACCCCAGGAGCAGCCTGTCGTATGAATAAACAATATTAAACGAGATGTTGTAATTAGAGCCAGGCTATAGGAAAAAAGGCCTTGTCACAAATATTTTCAATAATTTGATTTTTTGTGTATCTTAAAAACCACAAAGAGACCTTTTAAATAAACCTTGGCTTATGTAATGTCTTAGGCCTAATAAATTATAATTGCAGGTATAGATAAAAAAGATGGATTTGAATTTAGCATATTTCCTCTTAATCTTTGGCACATTTTTGGCTCTCTGGCACATTTTTTATTTTTGTGATAAGAACGGTTTTCGTACGTTGAGGCTCATTTTGTGTTGCATTGTCACACGTTGGATCACATGGTTGTTCGAATTTGTGCAATGAAAGTTCTGTGAATACTTATGCGACATTACAGCATTGATCTGTATATATATATTTTTATTATTACGATGTTTGCTACTATAGAGCATGCTTAAAGTTTGATATCCATTTCTAGGGTGAAATCAATCAAGTAATGAAAACTGATATCACGTTTTCGTAGTTAAAGAAAGTTCTGGGTCATGGTTTCTCTGTTTTAACACTTTTTATGCCGTGGTCACCCTTGCTCCGATTTTCAGCATCGGTACCCGGCCGATATGTATTTTGTTCGATGTTGCATTCATCGGCCAGGAGCCGATGTTGAAAATTGGAGCAAATGGGACCACTGCATCAATCAGAGACATTACCTATTGAAAAAGTCTCTGGTTGCATCAAAATACTAATAATAGTAATCAAAATTGTGTACGTACATTCAACATCGCATTGCTCTTCCTTAGTTTCCGCTATAGCGGAGATCACTTTCGAACAGTCTGGAGGACCAAGTAAGGATTTAGTTCTGGTGCATGTTCTACGACCAGTTCCACCACATGTACAGGGTTCGCATGACCATTCTGTGAATGGCAGTATTGGACAATCCCCACCTAAACGTTGAATATGTGGATGAGAACCGTATCATGTACGTCGTCAAAATGGAGGAATTTGATCTAAATTCCCAATCACGAGGTGAAGATTTTAATTAATCTTTTGCTTTCTTGTGTTTTCTTTTCCTTTATTATTTAAACGCCCCTTCGAAACATATTAATATCAGTGTATAATTCATTCTTTATTCCCAAATTATCCTATAACTGTATTTTATTTCCAGGTCACCAGTGACTGTCACTGAACATCTTGGGCATGATTGTATGAAACTTCTGTAAACTGAACCATTACCTGCAGGTACACAGCGGCAGTTGTTATAGCTTTTTATTTCAAAAGCCTGGGAAGGAGGACATTGTCTAGTAGAGCTAGATCTAGATGCATCTATGACTCTGTAGTTCCTGCCCTCTAGAGGAGTTTTCCACTCGTTATTGACACAACAAGCTGTAGGATTACTAGGGTCTACCCCATACCTCACATCGCCTTCAGGAGGACAGCCTGCAATATATTAATGGTGTCTAATACAATAAATATGTAAGATAAAGAGGGTCTACCCCATACCTCACATCGCCTTCAGGAGGACAGCCTGCAATATATTAATGGTGTCTGATACAATAAATATGTAAGATAAAGGGGGTCTACCCCATACCTCACAGCGATTTCAGGAGGACAACCTGCAATATATTAATGGTGTCTGATACAATAAATATGTAAGATAAAGGGGGTCTACCCCATACCTCACAGCGATTTCAGGAGGACAACCTGCAATATATTAATGGTGTCTGATACAATAAATATGTAAGATAAAGAGGGTCTACCCCATACTTCACATCGCCTTCAGGAGGACAGCCTGCAATATATTAATGGTGTCTGATACAATAAATATGTAAGATAAAGGGGGTCTACCCCATACCTCACAGCGATTTCAGGAGGACAACCTGCAATATATCAATGGTGTCTGATACAATAAATATGTAAGATAAAGAGGGTCTACCCCATGCCTCATAGTGATTCGATGTTGAATATATTTCAATCAAAGGCAGCGTTTTTGAGAGTGACTGGTCTGTGGGTGGTCTGTTGGGTCATATGGTCGATGATCGGCTGTTGGTATTTAACATATTAAAAATGAATAGATGCAAAATTATAAAAATTAAAAAAAATAGGAATCCATAACTAAAGTACCTCTTTAAGGTAGTGATTATAATGTGTTAAACCATTTCATATCAAGACTGAAAAATGCACATGAAAAACGTAATAATCTGGTTAGTCGTGTCCACTATATTAAGTTGTGAATCTGACCTTTTACTTTGCAACATTGTTCAGATTTATGTTGAATAGATGCTCCGACACATTCAGCACGGTTAACAATATCTTGGGAACCTCGTCGACTTCGCGTATGGAAATTGGTTTCTACATCTCGTTTGCCAACGCAAGAACAGGCAGTACATGTTCTTGTTCTATTGCACGTCCTTATACCAAACTCAGAACAAGATTCCGTAATGTTGCCTAGATTGGTTTGAACGTCAGACTTCATGCAAGAGCTAAAGACCCATTCGCTCCATTCACTCCATTTGCATTCTAATTAAATGAAGAACAATTAACTGAATTATCTCACATAAATGACATTAAGCAACTGCCGAAGTAAGTAGACAGTACCCTAGATAACCAGCAGTGACATCGTGTTACGTAAGTAACTACCGCACCACGACAATAAAATGTCACCTTTGAGTAAAATAAAAAAAGAAGATTGTATAATTGTAAACGTTGCTCACTCAGGCAGCATGCAGTGTTGCAACTCTCAGTTCTACTTTCTTCCGAATCTCCCTGACACACCTTTGATGTTCCTGAATTGCCAGTTATTTTTGTTCTTGCCCTGTATTTTGTTATGGTGCCACCGCCACAATTTCTTGAACATCTTTCATCATTTCTAGTCGTCCAAAGACTCCATTGAGACCATTCACAACCTTTCATAATGACAATTTCGTTATCTGGCTATTTCAATTTTGGAACCTATTTAATTGGTAGGAGAGGGTGCATGTTACATTGTTTCTTATCGCGTTGGATTGTGTTTTTGGATAATTTGGGTTTTATTTCCCTATGGCTGGTATTATCTTAGATGTTTTCTTTTTCATGGTATGTTTTGTAACAATTTTGGTATTTTCCCGTTGGTACCTGCGCTTACATACTTAAGACATTACAAAAATGTTCCTCATTAAACACACGTGGCCGTAACCACGAGGTTGCGAGTTCGAGACGCGTGTGCTCCTTGCGTTTATTCATTTCCTCATTAAACACAGCATATATATTGATTGATTTCAAAATACAAACATAAAACACTTTCATATTTTTTTTGTTTAACCCATTTACCTATAGCTTTATGACAAAGAGGCTATTAGATGCATTTGTATAAAGGCTCATAAAACTCATTTCCCATCTTCGTTATTTGCATAAAACATTAACATCCTGGTGTTGGAAATATGCTCCAAACGGTGGACATATTAGCCTTGCCCAAGGCGGTACCCTTTTATTTTTTATTTTTTAAAATTTAAATCAAGATAAATCAAATATAATACAAACTTGGGCGAGGCTATTTGAAAGACGAAAAACAGTTATTGTTTAAAGGGCAGCCAACCATGCTGATAGAATACATTAAACTAGCAAGTGTTTGATAGGACCCATTTCACTTGAATATGAAACAGAATATAAAAATTAACTAATGTGGCTAAGACTTTTCATATTATAACGTTTAGGAACACAATGAACGTTGCACACATTTTAAAACAATAAATAACATTGATAAAAGATATCTAGGGAATGTTGAAATGGTTGAGTATGTAGGATTAGGGAACATAGAATCAGAGGTGTGTGAGTGTGTAGAACACCTACAAAGCTCAGTATTAAATGAGCAGCATATCATTTTCTCAATTTGATATATTGACAAAATAGATAGGTAAATAGACCTAGTTTACAAAGTTTAGACTCAAAGAAATATATAAGCAATAACATGAATAGAATCATTTACAGTTCCAAAGAGACTGTCATCTTTCTCGAAAAGAGTATCCCCTCATTCATTAATACAAGGTATCGACCAATTACACAATGTACCTATTGCCACCTCAGCTGACGGCACGGACGGACACCATTAGAATGATAATATGGCCCTCACATTGAAAGGATTATCTCGAAGCGGAGGAATATGTAGCAAATGTTCCAAAGGGAGAACCATGATCTAACTTGAAAAGAAACAATGTCTAAAACCATTTTCCCATTCCATTCAAGAACCAAAATCACAATCCAAGACCAGAGCACAAAAGGACATTTCATTCATACTGAAGTCATTAGAATGCACATGCGCATGAAGAAAAAATAGAAACCGATATCCAATATTCATAACATCAAAAATAGTCGTTGATACAAGCGCTCATACACGATAGAGCATTAAACCTCAAATGATGTGGGATAGACAATATCAAGTCTTAAAGTCAATATGCATTTCAAATGACCAACATCCATTCTCAAAGCCGTCATCATGATCCATAAAAACAATAATTCACAATGGTCATCGAAGGAAAACCTTGGGTGGTTTCTATTGCTCTCTACATATCATTAATTTCGACGTTTCAAGTTTTACCACTTGAACTGCTGAAGGATAGAGGAATTGTTTAAGACATTGGCGCTAAACTCACAATATTTTCACTTGGCACCTTTTGAGGTGGATCCCGGCTATGGCATTAATGGTTGAGAAATAGGGATCGAAACCAGCCATAGTTTTCTCCAGATGACCATTTCTCCGATGTTGACCCTTTGAAACGCCTATAGACTTGGAGACTGGATTTTATCTATCCCACATTATTATTGTCTTTCACAAGGTGATATTCCACTTGCCCTTCGGGCTTCGTGGAATATCACTTGTGAAAGATGTACAGGTATTCACCTCAATAGAGTGAAATATTTGTTCAATATTCACAATCTTTTAAGAGCAAATTCAATGAAGTTTGTACATTCCGTTTTTGTTAAAATGTTTATCTGAATATTTTTAAGCGGTCTGCTCTCTAGGGCTATCCGTGACATAATAGTGGGGATTTTTTCTTGTATTGCACCTGTACATTCTGTAAAATGGAATACAGATCACGTGATTCAGTTTAATCGGGCGCTTCCAAATTGGTTATAGCAGGGGGAAGAAAGAGGTACGGATTCTGGATACCTGCTTAGGAGGATTACATGATCCTAGAGTTGATTTATTGTTATGGAGTCATAAATGTGGATATGTCTCGACCAATCACGTGTGTCTGTAAATGCTCAGTCTAAAAAGGCAACTCGTAATCCGTTACTAGAAAGAGGTTAATATTAACCAATTAAAGAAGATAACCATACACGAACAAATGTCAAATACATATATCGTTTGCTCGACTCTTACATTGTCCTGTGTTACAAGCCGTTCCTCTATCTTCAACCGAATCACCCGGGCATTCCAGATTTGGAAATCTTGTACTAAACTGTTTTTCTCTTGTTCTCTGTTCGGCTCTTCTTCCGGTCCCACATAACTTAGAACAAGGTCCACCCGACCATGAACTCCATTTGGACCATTTACAGCCTGTAGTTGCAACACATCTCGTTAAATTGAACATACAGATATGTACGTTGTCACTAGGGATCCCACGATACATTTTTTCGATTCGATACGTATCTCGATATTATGAAAACGATTCGATACAAACGATACGATACACATATTTATGTAAATGTCTGTGTATACATGGGGGGGGGGTCGAGTCCCCCGCTAAAAAAAATTTCAAAGTTACCCTTCTGAGCATAGAAAGTTGTGTTGTTATTGAATGTTGGGTTTTTAAAATACCTCCACACCTCAGACTTTCCTTTTGGGTTGTGTTTATTGTGATGGTGTTCTCCATATTACGAATATAAGCAAATTTACGGGATTTAAATCTCGCCGATGTTTCGCTATTCATTCAATATCCGAACGTCATGTTTGATTGTCGTTCGCTAAATATAACGCAAATTGGAAGGCGACTATAACATCTTAAAACATTAAAATAAAGATACGTCTGGGGCCCTATCGCATTTATTACGTACTTAGATAATTAATGGTATAATGTTTGGTGTGGAAATGCACATAGGGCATCTAAAATCACAAATGTTCGCAAAATTATTGAAAATCCGTTTATTGCTAAAAAGTTCACGTTCGGTTTGAATCACGAAAATTTGTGGCGCGTCATGTGAGCTCTTCAAAATATTTTTAATTTTTAATTTTTCCCGGAGTTTTTCTGTGTCAACTTTGGTTTAATAGAGCTCTTTTACTTACTTAACGGGTAAGTTGATTTGAAAAACGATTATCGATAATATCGAAAATAGAGGATCCATATCGATTAATCGAATCGGAGGTGATTTCTAGCGATTATATCGGTGCATCGAGCAATTGTGGGATCCCTAGTTGTCACACAAATATGCAGACACAATTGAAATAAATTCCTATACCGCTTTCAAAAATGATAGAGTTCTTATTTTATTGAAAAATCAATCACTTTAAAACTCCTTAATCGATGTAAATAAAAGGTTTCAAATAAACATGTTCTTTCCTTATATTTAAATGAAAACACAATGTTCCCTATGTTTTTAATAAAATCTGGATGAGGATATAAGCTTACGGTAATAGTTGATATTTTGGCAAATAATTCAATTTGCCTATTAGTTGAGGATATACTGTATAAGTGATTATTTTATTTGTCTCCCTTCGGTCGTTGATAGTTTGTTCACAAATATCCAAACCGTACATCGAGACTATCGATACAAACGCAGCCCGTACGAGAATCGTACTCCTTTTATGCCCGTAATGACTCGTAATCCTCGGGGCTCGTACGGAGTCTGATATAATTTGCCTGTGTACATGATGAGTAACAGAAAAACTGATTCAAAGTTTGTCTTCAAACTAACATTCTACCTACCTACAGGAGGTGGTGGTGGCGGAGTAGGTGTTTCACAACCACAGTTCTTAAACGAGTGTATTACAAACTTTTGTCCTTTCGGACATTCCTTTTTTAGGATTTTCCCATCGCTGACTCGTGTACATAGATATTTATTTCTGGCTGATGTCTTGTGGAATGTGCCATCGATACAACATTGTTCAGGAGGATCTCCAGATCCATAACGAGGATCTGATCTATCTGGACATTCTACAATTAATATATAGGTCAAAGTGTGACTTTTTAAAATCATTTTTAGTTTCTTTATTTCAGGGAAAATGTCAAAGTTGAAGGTTTGTGATAACCCGAAATATATGTATACAAGAAGACATGTACATATTTTGATCCATATCAGGTTTGTCTGTTTATAATTGAGTATTTCTATGGTAATAGAGAATTTCATTTACCTTCGGTTCATTGTTTAAAAAATATTATGGTCATTCAAAATACAAGACAGTAACGAAGTAAAAAAGAAAGTGTGTACTTTTTTGAAGGCTATATTTCTAAATAGACCGATAAAGGACAACTTACCTGGCTTTGCAATGCATTTGCAATCCCGAATTGAAAATACTTCTCCCTTTTTACATTGTTTCAGTAGTTTTACTGCGCCATTTACATGCTGACATAGGAAACCTCTGCCCTCTTTAGGTGCATGCCAAATATTTTTAATACAGCATTTATTTGGCGGATTGCCATATTGAGGATCACCTGGCGGGGGACATGCAGCTAAAACATAGTATATGAGTGACATTTGGCATTCTCGAATGCAACTAACGGCTACCGGATAACCCTACTAGTTTATGACCAACTCATTTACATATGAGTGGAATAGTGGCAGGTACTATTCATATTTAAACGAGTTGCCCATAAAATGGTAGGCTTAATGGTAGCCGTCAGGCGTTAGTTGCATTCGCGAATACAAGCTAATTCATATCACCATTTACATGTAACAAACTTAAATATTAGACTACATATTCAAATAAATTTTAAATGAATCTATATTTGTATAAAGATATTTATAGTTAGCTACCCGGTTTTATGTGGCACTTCTGGACGCAAGGGAAAAGTGCAAACTTCACCCCCAGGGGATCATTTTTTAAACACACTTTCCAGCATACTTCATCGACATCAAATCCCTGTTAATCAAAACATTAAGAAAGAAGTAAATATTGTGCTATTCGTAATAATCACTGAGTAAAACACCATTCTCTTAAACACAAAGGAAAACTAATGTGTTTTATTTCAAAAAGAATATCGCATTCACGAACAGAATTGATAACTTAGCACAAGCTGCCAAAGACAAATGACCAACAATTGAAAAGAAACCTGGAAAAGGCAAACTTTATGTGTAAACCTGTGATTAGAAAATATACCCTATATATCCCAAAACCATGATCTTACGTGAAAAGAAAAAATTTAAAACATATGTTAAAATGGTTATATGGAAGCTCTGTGGGCACTTTAAATACTTTTGATGTCGAGAAATTATTTGAATTGATGACCAATATTTAAAAAATTCAAACATTCGCAGTTGGAGGTACACGGTAGATTATTAATTGTCAAAAGATGTGGGACAGACAAAGTTCGGGCCCGTAACATAATCAGATACTGAAAAAATTTTGGTCAACACTTCATAATGGCGCGTGTATTTGTACGCTACATATTGATAGGATTCTTTGAAATTTCTAATTTCACGTGATTTACTTGAAATCGTCATTTTTTCTTATGCGCAAAAGCCATGATAGGGATGATATAGTCTTATCACAAAATGAAGCAGTTTTAATCAACTTCATGCCTACCTGTTTGATGTTACAGCTACTGCAATCTACTAAGGAATATTCGTCGCAAAGTTCCTTGCACGGCGCATATATTTTTCCCCTACTCTTTTCTTTTTGGCCACACGATACTGAAACATTTTGAATTTGAAATCACTGAACTTGGGCACATTAAGGTACTACAATATATGATACTACACCTAGTACGCAAAACCTAAAGGTCCAGGATGGACAAAACATAAAATCTGTATACATTCTATGCAGAACATTTGCGTTTCCTCTAAAATACATGTAGCAATTTAGTGATTTCAGTCAATTGTTGGTTATTTAAAGATTTAGGCACATTTTAAAAATAAACGAAAATGGACGTCAAATGTACTCCTTAGTTTATATATCAAAAGGACAACCGGAGGCTTCAAGATTACACGGGGCTCTTATCCCAAAGATTAATGATTATATAAGGTTGCATAATCATGATTTTGCGCTGTCATTACGTAACATTATCTCATGATTACGTAATCGTTTCTTTTGTATACAATTACGCAAGCTCTGATCGTAAGATAGCCGTCTCCTCATGCCAAAAAGTTTTGTAATATGTTATATTTTATGTAATAAAATCTATAAAAACGTACACATGTTCTTTGGATATAAATGTATAGTGAAACAAAAACTCATTAATGTACTTTTAATGAAATCAAATGACAAAATAAACTTTTAAATTGTAAAGTTAAGTTTTCAAGTTGTTATTTTATAATTTTTTATCATTTTCAATGACATTTTCATGAAAATTATATTGCTTTCGCGTATATCGTATATAATATGTTTAAGGATTATACGATATACTCCTTATAGTTAATAGTGTCACAACTTTAATTACTCAATGCCGAGTACGTCTCGCCCAATATTTTTTTCTCAAATAGGTATTCTGCCATATACAGCTCCTGATCATCCAGTATTTGTTTTATTATGCACTTTCTCAATCAATCTTTTGAGTGTGTTACGATGTACTTACACTTCTAGAACTTTTGATTTTTCTAAAAACTCGAACGACTAGCTATACACCAAACGAAAAAACGTTGTCTTGTCCCGGGAATTAATTTACATTTATTTGAGGCGTTTTTGCAGAATTATACGTAATGTTTGAATGATAAGGGCAATTGTGATTGCTTAAGTACACGTTTTATTCTATTTGCCATCAGTTTTTGATGTCAGCTTTAAGTAGAACTCGTGTTATTGAGAAAAAGAACTCTTAAGTGGCGAAGGCCACATAAACATTGGAAAAAATATTGGTCAGTTGCAAAATAATATTGGGCAGTTTCAAAAAATATGGGGCATTCTTTTTAAAAAGCAAGATATGGCCAAATTACAAATTATAGTATTGTATTGTATTGTAAAATAACGTATGAAAATAGAACAACAATTCAAGGAACGTTTACATAAACGAGAACATATAATATCTAAAACGCATTAATTCATAAAACTTATAAACCATGTATACAGAATAAACAAGAGGTATACAGTTCAAGAGCTTAACATAGTTAAGGTGGAAATGATTTCTGATATTTTATTTGCACAATGTAATATAAAACATTCCCATGTTTCTGGTTTACAGTCTTGGAGAACATCGGTGGTCCCTCCAAGCAGTGTTTCTATCAAAATATCCTCTTCTGTGTTAAGTAGCATTACTGAGCTGACAGGATCAAAAATGTTGACAATGCCATCCAGCACAACATCCCTTAGAGCCATAACGGCATTACATTGTAATAAGGCGTGCTTAACTACATCACTTGTCTGCACTTTACATGCTTTACATACATACATATTCTTTTTCAGTGTGAAGAACAGCTAAATTCAAAAGTTGACCAAACTTCCATGTAAGCATTGGATATTTAAATCCAAACTTCCAAAGGACTGATGTTTCATATTTTAGTTGAATGTTGCTATATCTTAATGTTTTGGGATTTGTCATAATTGCTTCTCTCTATAAAGATTCTTCTCTCATTTGAATTTGGCCAATGATAAAGGATTTCCACTTTTGATTGGTAGGGAATGAACCTACGCGTAAGAAATCAATTAGTATATCACTGAAGATGGGATATTTTCGTGCAAATATGAAAAACATCAGATATAAGTCCGGTGCAAAGTAAGTTGTGAGTGTTACGCAATATATAACTGCTAAGACGTCTTGTTAGAACTTGGAATTCAATAGATTCTGGTTTTGAAACACAGATTCGACCGAGAAAAGACAATTTAGTTTTGTCTATGTAACTTTCCATTGACCATAGTTCAAGAGGCGCAAGAACAACATCACTGGTTGTTCTCCAAGGTAAACCTTGGCATATTTTGGCAAAATAATGCATAGCGATTTCTAACTGTCTGTAATTTCTAATGTTGCACCAAAGTTCGCAACCAAAACATGCAGTGGTTAAGATGAAACGTTTCCAAATTTTACAACTTGTTATGGGGTTGATTCCATGGTTTCTCATACCAACACCACAAAGAGAATTGGAGGATTTTTTGCATGTTTTACTAGCTTTCTCAATAGAACTTTGGGAGTCAAGAGTCTTATTTAGGATATTTCCAACATAGACTACTTCATCTTTAGTTGGCAAAGGGTCATCCCCTAATGTACACTGGTGTATTAGTGGCAATTTGGTGTCATAAGAAAAAACGACAACTGTGCTTTTTACTTCAATGCCCAAATGATAAACCATTTTCCATTTGCAACTATAATCATATACTATTTTTAAAAGAAATGATTTATATTATTGAATTGATGATGTGTTATGCCTTTTCAAAAATATTTAAATTAAAAGTATTTCTACAGAAATAACGATTGATTTCTCCCTCGATTTTCTTGTGAGTACTTAGTCTATCGTCAAAGTAATGAAATTTATATTGCTAAAATATAACTTACTTGTTATCGATGCAAACAAGACCAAAACGAAGTAGCCGCCTGGTCGCATTATTACCCGATCTGTGAGTCTCGTCCAACATCATGTAATATCAGCATATTTTATATGCACACAAACTATTAATCCAAAAAGACATTTGAAAAATTAGTATTTTATACAGGAAATGCCATCATTCATACAACAATACATATTATCTATTATATCGCATGCTGTGTCCACAGAAAGCTACCCGATTTGACAAAAACTAATGAAGATATAAAAAATGATTTTCTCGTTCTTTGTGTTAAATGTACCTATTGAGGTTTAATCTATTTGGCAAATAATTCATCCGGTAGCATCGTTCCTTTGTTTAAAGCCTTATGTTGAAAAATTATGTTAAATTACATCAATTAATAGAGGTAAATGGCTGGTTTAAAGATCATATACTATTGTTGCTAATACATATTACATTTCAAGGTTAAAGGCAACAAACGATTTATTGGAAGTCCGGAATCGTTTTACACAATGGAATCATCACTGTATGTATCCATTGTGGATTATTGAGATCTAGCCGTAAATAATCCAGGGTTTATCATATTGTATCGTATTATTGTAAAAGTAGAACTGAATCGCGCAAATGAGTAATAAAGGAATGGAAATAATATCGGCATATAGTCTACTCATTAACGAGAAGTATCACTGTGATAGGGGAGACTTTTTTAGTCATCTTTAAATAATATGTTAAAAATTATATAAGTCACTCCATTACCCATTAACTAAATGAGGCCTAATCATTTTAGCATATAATTGTGTCAGGGTCCGGTTTGTATTTTGATTTGATTTCAGGATTTAACTCTACCATTCAGCCTAACATCCTTGATTCTTAGAAACCTTTATCATTAAATTCCTTCCAAAATATTGATTTTTTCTGATGACAATGTTCTCATTATTCCAAATAGGTTTCCGCAATACAATACGTTGACATAAGTCCTACATTGGCTTTATGAATAAGGCTTCTATACTTTTAACCCGTTCCGTTAACGTAACAATGGTGAGGTATTAAATCGACGATTTTGCTGTCTTCTGAGATATTTTTTCGCAAATATGTTTATTTTCTAAAACATATGATACTGATACACGTTTCTGATCTTAATGTCGGTCGTGGGAATTCCGCCAACAACGCGTGAAATAAGGAAAAAAGAAAACTCGTACCTTCGACGTTCCGACATTTTTCTATCAAAACCACCGTAATCGAGCGGATCACCAGTGTGAGGGATATTCGACGTATATTCTGTTTGGATTGAAAACAGTTTATATGGATCTATGAAGCAGTCTGCCTTATGATTTATGAATTGATGGAGATCCTTCTTCTTAGAGGGAGATCGATACAAAAAATCTAAAGAATTTCCATATTTTGAAGATTCCCGATCCAATCAACCTTTGACATGAGTCAAATCCATTCGATCCAATTCACCTATCAAACTTTACCCCCGATTGTGGTTAGATTTTGTCATACTGATTTCCTTAGATCTCAGAGAAGTCGATCATAATTTTGTTCAAAGTACAATATGTTGAACAATCGACAGATTGTTAATCATTCCTGATACCTACAGAGTTAACACAATTGAAACTACTTATCAGAGAACAATCAAGTTCAGATGTTTGTAGTCACAATGGCAATGAAAATATAACCTCTTCGATGCCAATCATTTTCAGACGTTCCCCACGTCTAGTTTGCGAAAAAATACAAAGACGAAATGTAAATCTAACACCCCAGTCACATTTCCTGCGGCCGCCATGCGGCCTATCATTTCTGCGGCCAGTAACATTTCTACGCCCCCCGTGGAATTTCTACGCTCTCATACTTTTGCAGTCACATTTCCCACGGCAGCCGCACGGTGAATTTTAAATTTCTGTTGATAAATAATACTTTTTTCATTGTATTTACATCGGGACAATTTATAAATGTTATTCATAGTGCTAGGATGTAATATCAAATCAAAAGAAAAATCGTAAAACATTGACAAATAATGATTCAATCTTGTTGAGCCAGTTGATTTCTACGGGGACCTCAGAAATGAACAAATATTATATATATAACTCCGAGTTATAATTTCTACGGCGACCCTGCGGCCTGTAAAAAACTGGATACGCCGTACGGAGGCCGCAAGGCGAGCGTAGTTTTCTTACGCTCGCCGCAGGAATACACTGATTTAATTGATCTGCGATCGACGCACGGCCTCCGTGCGACAAATGTGACTGGGGTGTAAATAGGAACGAAGTATACATAACATACAGACCAATATGCATTTATTTTTTAGGCCAATAGCAATAACAGAATTCCTGTTGTATTGTAAAATAAAAACCTATTAATTCAGTCTGATTCAATTTGGGACAAGTTCACACTGCGAGGTGAGTGAGGTCAAGCAGCCAAAAGCAATAGCAATGTGTAAAATAAAAAAGCGGGTCAATTCTGGATAAGGTAATACGAACTTAAATTTAAACAAAATACTTTCTTAAAGAACGTTGGTGTTTTTACTGTTGAACATTTCCATTTTTTATCTTTTCAGCTATTCCTCTGGCTATTGACGGCCTGGACACTCCATGTTGCTGAAGCTGGTACGCTACTAATGCATTATTAACACTTTATTCGAGACGAAAAGTTTGGGTCACATGATAATTCTTCATCTGGTGTTTAGTAGAAATTGTTCAACCGTTTGAGCGGTCTCTGGTGTCAAATGAACCAGTACTTAGTACCCCGGACAGGTTGTATGATGCAGTCGTTTTTTTTATTTTATTTGCAATAGAACAACCATTTTTATTGAAATGTTCAAGATTTATTCTGGAGACAATTTCCAACATGGAAAATAAATATTTTATCAAAATTTCCAATTTTATGATTTTGACAGGCTTTTTTCAAAAACACTACACTGTCAATAAAATACAGGTTTTTGCTTGAACAATTGAACTTTTAACGTCATTTTAAATATTGTCTGGCTATGGAATTTCCGGCCGCCTAGTCTTTCCAGATATATCTGTTGCCATCTATTAATAATTATGGCTGATTATTGTTATTCACTTGAGTCATATTCAATATTATTACAGTGCATTAGCCCAATAAAAATTTGTTGCTCTTGGCCTCGTTTTGTGAAGCGTTCCCTAGATTGAGCCCAGATAGAGGAGGTCAATCTTCTTGTCCACAGACATGAGTTCAACCCGGTCACTGTTCAATACTGTCCAAAATAAAGTAAAGCATTACGAATCTCCTATTTGAAGTATTCTTGGCATTAGATCCTTCAGAGATGTTAATACAGCTGTGTCAAATTTTATCATGAAATTGTCAGGGAGACCTGACATTTTAAAAGCATGGTACAATTTACGTGCCACGGGCTGGCATGCTGAGTGACGGTTGCGGAAAAACCCAGTGGAGAAAAAGGTGCGTTTTCAGAGAAATTTGGACCCAAAATGACAAGTTATTCATTGGCCTAATGCACTGTAATAATATTAGGCCTATTGAATATGACTAAAATGAATAACAATAATCAGCCACAATTAATATGGCATCAAATACATCTGGAAAGACTTTAGGCTGTCAAAAATCCAATAGCTAGACAATCTTTGAAATGACGTCAAAAGTTCAATTGTTTAAGCAAAAACCTGTATTTTATTGACAGTGTAGTGTTTTTGAAAAAAGCTCGTCAAAACCATAAAATTGGAAATTTTGACAAAATATTTATTTTCCATGTTGGAAATTGTCTCCAGAATAAAATATGAAAATTTCAATAAGAATGGTTGTTCTGTTGCAAATATAGAGTAAAAAAACGACTGCATCATACAACCTGTCCGGGGTACTATTAATCCATTGGAAATACAGTAGGGCGATGAAAAGTAAGACACAAACGGGTCTAGGTTATTCACTATAAAATCACTTGAACGGCACATCGTTGAAATGATACGTACTTTTGAAGTTGTCTTTTGTAAAGGTAAAGCGCATGGACTGGAACTCAACTATTACTCGGAATTATTACATAATATTTTTTTTTATTTGCAGGCGGAGGCAAGGGTGGTAAAAAGGAAAGTACGTACTAAGTTTCAACATTAAATAGAAGTTAAAACAGTAAAGGTATTTTGATTCTATTTTTAAAATGATTTAGAGTTAATTCAGATTTGTTATCATTCGTAAGTCGATGGACCTCCATCCATAGACAACGGAGTTGCCCAACCAGGGTCCAGTGTTTCTGCATCATTTTTCTGCTAATTTTAATTCTTCGATATATTTCACTTTCAAACTGTTATGAAATCAACATGATCACGGTCAATATAATATATCCAAAGTCAACGACATTATTTTAGATTTTAAAACTATACTGTATTTTTAACCTAATTCAAATCAGTCATATTGAAAGACAAAGAAATAAAAATTCAAACGTAAAGAGGCTTTAACACGTAGTTCAATGGGGGAGCTAAGGTTGCTAAACTTATGTCGGGGAGTGTATGTACAGTATATATTATATTTGCTAGTTGCTATCCATTACTTGACTGATCACCCCTCGTGTGTCAACTCCCAGCATCTTCTGTAGTTTTGGGTTTTAGGAGGTTGATTAATTTCAAATTGTATATATTAAATCTCGAACATAAAACACTCAATTCGTGAATCAAAAATATTAATTTATTTCAACTTACAGAGAAACATACCAAAATGTATTTTGAAATTGGAGCAATGCAATCATTCATCAATTTTAATAATTCGGTTAAGGAATTTGATAATTCACAATCACGACGTCACAAATATTAAAGACAGCATGTAGAACCTTTCTCAATTGATACTCCATCGCACGGATAGCTACCGTGTCTCTTTCGACGTTGAACACGTTCATCATCAACACTTCGACCTACGGGACATATTGGACACATCCTTGTTCGCACTAGTCTTCCTGGTATCGTGCACCCGATGACATACACTCCTGAGACTTGTTGGCATGTCCAGGGTTCCCACGGTTGCCAGATACCACAACCTGTATGCGAAAGGTTACATATTACGTTTGTGGTCGCAAGTAAAATATACACAAACGATTGTTAAGTGATCCATCCCATAACCTCTGAGAGATCAGACACATATCATGTGTCACAAGTATGGATAGAATTACAGCGAAGAGATGCATTTCAAATACAGCACAGTTTATTTTGCTTCGAGCTGGTTAAGTACAGACGGGTTGGTTGATCAGGTTTGACACATATAAAATGGGTATGAAGTTAAATAAGTTGATGAAAAAGCATCTCGTTTAATGTACGATATTTTACCACAATCTGTACACTAAACAGACTGTTCAATACGAAAATAAGTGGTGTGGATATCATTTGCCAAGGTGCGGATATTAATGGAGTACCCAACATGCTTAATTGGTGAAATATCACGAAAATATATTCAAAAGTGGCCATTGATATCCGCACATTGCGCACGTGATATCCGCACCCTTGTTTTCGTTTAGCACAGTATGCATATAGTGAACCTTAAGGTTCAAACATGTGTGGTATATGTGTGTTACTTTGAATCGATTACACAATCTTAATATTGTGCTTTGTTGATTATGCGGATTGATATTGACACGTTGAAATGAGTATTAGCTATCAATTTTAAATTTATTCTCCAAGAAGTATTGCAATGACTTCAGTATGAATGAAATGTCCCTTGGTATTGTAATATTTACAGTATGAATGGCTCCTATGCGTATAATATATATGATCACAGCAGATCCGGAGTAGTAAAGGTTAATGCAAGATTAGTTACAATAAAAGCAAAAATGAGATCTAGACAATAAATACAACGACTTGTATTTTCAAGTGCTTAGTATATACCTTTTATTTTAAAATATGCTTTTTGAAAATGATTTTTCATAGTATTTATACAAATCAAACCTTACTAGAATAATTTGTAAACTCCATTGTTCCCATTCCTTTAACTTTCTTCTCTCTTGGATAGTTTGATATTTATCAAGTTTGATGAAAGATACATTTAATAACAGTGTAGGAGTTATACATTGACTTTTTGACTATATTGACTTTTATGGTTTCTTTTGGTTAACTTACTTGGACATCCTTGCGTATTACATCGTTTCGTTTTTTGTTCTTCTGAAACTCCAGGACAAACTGGTGAACTCCCGCTAGTATTGAACGTCTTTGTTCTTGTTCGGTAAAAGTTAATACTGCCCCCTCCGCATGTTACTGGGCAAGTGCGACTAAATTCACCGTTTCTAGGTATCCAAGGACTCCAACTGGACCATTTACAACCTGAGAACGTAGATATAGAAGTTCTTACTTATTCACTAGTGATCCACTCGATTACGCTGGTTACCGAAACGAATCGTTTCGGAAAAATGTCGGAATCTCGAACGCACGATTTTTATTTTTTCCTTATTTCACGCGTTGTGGGCAGAATTCTCACGACATTTTTTATCACAAAAGTGTGTCAGTATTATATAAAAATGTACATGTTTGCGAACAAATAGTTCAGAAGACAACAGAATCGTCAATTTACTGGAGAGGTTAAGCTACCGTATAGAATCCAAAACGCAACTTAAACGTATCAATCGGCCCTATACAAATACATGTAGAGTTCACACATAAATAGCCGTTTAGCTCTAGTGTTTGTTTAGACTACACCATAGCTTGTAATGATTACATAGTATCCCATTGATGAAGTTCAATAGCTGGTTTTCTAATACATATTTTAAAGAGACTCTATTGAGACTTCTCTGTGGCATTTTTTCTTTATTCCTTTTTGTTTTGAATTTTTAACACCATAACATTAACTAACTACTCAATATGCAACTTTTCACCACGTAGAATTTTAAAATATTAAGTTTGAAAATTCCATTTTTATAATGGAGCTCAATGGGGAAAACTACATAATTTGAATTATTTTCAAACATAGCGGCGCGATTTTGATAAAATTGACAGATATAATAAATATTGGTTAGACGAAATGTTTGATGAAAAATGAAGAAAAATCACCGTCCTGGTTATGCAAACCATAGAAAAATCTGAAATAATCTTAAAAACCTGTAAAAATAGATTGAAGGGGGTGATATTCATTTCTAATGTGCCTTTCACTACTACGGGGTAACCATAATTTTGGTACTGATTTGATTTTTCAATGAAAATCATTTCTATAGTGTATAGTCAGTTTAAATAATACAATTGCTATATTTCTTTACTGAACAGTGCAATCATTTATTTATTTTGTAGTAATGCAAACTACTTATTATACAGTTGGTAAAATATTAAAATAATTCTATTAAAATTAAAGCATTGAGATGATACTTAAATAATTACAAATTATATTGATAGGCATATTATATTATAGGATTTAAGCCAATGACTCAATGCATTGTAGATGATTAAATTTAACATATGTCCTGATTCTAGACTATGAACGAGGGTGGTAGTCCGAATTCAAAGCCTAGACTAGAAGACATAAGTGAATTGAAGCATCCACTATTCATTGAATCATGTGCTTAAATTCAATTTCACACATTGCAAAATATTTTTTACAATTTCACTTAACAGAATGATATTTTTTCAAAGATATGTTGTACTTTCAGAATCATTTGCTTCAAAGAATTGAACTATGGTGGCCTTAACTCGTTATTTTACAATTTTTGCTGTAACTGGAAAGGAGGCGAGCGATTTTGTTCATATTTGGTATATGAATACTATAAGCATGGCACACTGTCTAATGACTCTTCTGGTAGAAGGCGGCCATTTAAACGTATTTTACTATAACACGGAAAGTAGTGGAGCGATTTTGTTCATATTTGGTATGTGAATACTATAAGCATGGTACACTGTCTAATGACACTTTTGGTTGAAGGCAGCCATTTTGAAAAATGGCCGTCATTTCAACGTATTTTACTATAACTTGAAAAGTAGTAGAGCGATTTTGTTCATATTTGATGCGTGAATACTATAAGCGTGGCACACTGTCTAATGACACTTTTGCTAGAAGGTGGCCATTTTGAAAAATGGCTGCCATTTTTGCTGTATACTTTGTTTGTAAAAAAATGCCAGCCATGGCTGTTCGATGGGATTTGCTACACTTTGGTGTTGCTGTTGTCTAGTTGAAGGATGGATGGACGGATAAATGGAGGGGTCTCTATAGCTTATCCCCTAATCTTCGTTGGATTGAACAATTGTGAATATGGTTTGTTGGACAAATAAAACTTATTGAATGTCTAAAAGCAAATAATGAAGTGGTAATTTATTTAAAATCATTAGAATCTCAAACATGCTTGCTTTGGTCTAGTCACTTAATTCCTAAATGTCCCGTAATTAGTATCTATATACCTTTTTAGATGCAGTGAAGGAGTTAAATCATTGGGATATGAATAAATCATGCAAAACATATTTTGTACATACTTCTCATCATTTAGGGTTACCCAGTAGTTTACAAGCTGACCTTTGCAAAATATATTTCACTTACTATCCTCATTCGCTATTACGCTATCTAGTTTCTTTCCAAATTGGCCTGAATTGCCTGGTTTATTGGTTTAAGCGAACCGTCCATTTCGTCGAACCATCATTTTGCTAAGGTTGTTTGTGATGAATATACAATATTCAGTTACATATAACTGTACAGCAACTTTATGCAAGGGAAGGTAATTGTGCGAGAGCACGCACATAAAGTACACGAAGTATTGACCCACTTGTCACAGTGAATCTTATAAACAGTGCATGAAGTTTTTTCTATGCAATGATTGGCTCACAGTTACTTATAGTGTAAGTTATTTTATTTCTGTACAGTGCGGAATAGAGTGTATAAACTTTTACAGTTTCAAGCAGGTTTTAGTGTTTTCTGACCAATGATATATTCAGACTTATTCATTTCACGATTATGTAATACTGACTTACATATCTGTATAGCATATCTTTAAACGAGCTCGTTTCGTAAGATTATTGGGGTTAAATCATGCCTAACATACATCATCTTCTTCAGAAAGAATTATACTCTGCATCGAAATCAAAATTGCAAGGATAGTATTCAACAGACATGAGTATAATGATTCCCGTTGATAGCAACGTGAAATTTCTAAATCTCCCGTTCTAAACACGCAACTTTGAAGTTGAACGGGTATCTGAAGTAGACTAAAGCGATACAATCCTATGTTGATTCAATGTACTTTGCGTTTACGTATACGTTTTGAAAAACCGTATTTGCTTAACCTCTCCAATACCTCAATTAAGTAACGTAAACGGAATCGGTTAGAAATGCAGATCTTAACCTTTTTTCGAAGTTCCGTTTACGTAACGTGTATTGTAATGACTTCAGTATAAATAAAATGTCCGTCGCTGTTGTGGTATCAGATTGTGATAGAAAATGGTTGGGGATGAAGGGGGGGGGGGGGGCTAAAAGGTCAGTGAGGCAAATAAGAAGGTGGTATGAAATTACTACAGCAGTTGATTGTGAACTGTGAAGCGCAGACATGACTTCAAAATCACCAAAATGTCGAGGGACATTGTACAATTCATCCAAGTTTAAGTATATAAGACACGAGATTTCAGAAATCAAATCGGAAGGCAGTTCCGAGAAAACATATATACTGCTCAAATTTTGCAGAACTCTTTATTTATGTCGGCAATTCTTTTTTCCGGCAAACGCTTTGAAGAATTCCCATCATTGTAGAACGCTCACAACCAATAAATGGTTCAAATCGTGTCCCTAATGACCCAGCTAAATTATGTAGTATTTAGAATAGTAAACGAAATGATAGCACTAAGATTGTACGTGTCCACTATTTCGAAATTGGTGTGACAATTATGGACAAAGGTATACCTGACGTAAGAGACAATAGAGTAAATACTGATCGACTTACATTGATTGGTGTTGCATGACAATGTACGCATTTCAAAATCCGATCCTGGGCAGATAGGTGACCCACCAATGACGTTCTCCAGTTTAGTCCTTCGTCTGGTACTAGTGGAAACTCCTCCACCACAAATAACTGAGCAAATACCATTAATCCATTGGGTCCAATCAGTCCATCGGCATCCTATACATAATGTTTCATTACTGTAAGTGTTAAAGTGAGTTTACAATAACTTAAATCTAGCGGAGATATGCTGTTTGTTAATTTCGTATTAGTTCTGTTTTATTTCAAAGTAGTCACGTTAATTTTTTACCTCGGCATGGAACCCTTGTACATGGTACACTTTTACTGTCAGCGGTACTACCGAAACAATCTAAAGACCCTTCGGGGTCTGTACCCCATGTTTTGTTCCTTGATCGTATCTGACTCTCAAATCCAGACCCACAACTTACAGAACATAAACCAGGGACCCAACGTCCCCAGTTCGACCACAAACAGGCTACAATACAAAATATATACACTTTAATGCATCTTAAAATGTAGTAAAAATGAAATGCAAGCTTTGTGAGCCAATAAAAATAAGATCTGGACAAAATATACAACAGCTTTGTATCTACAATCAATCACCATGAACATTTTTTTAGAAAAATATTTTTCACATCATTTATAAAAATCAAATCAATTTGAAAACATTTGATTTTTTGTAATCTATGCAAACCTACACGTAATAGTAGGTTGCTTATAAACTTAAACCACCTTTCGTCCGGTTCGCTTGTAACGAACACTTTGGTCGACATAGCTTTCATTTCCATTTCCCCTTTCCTTCTTTCTTGGATAATTTGATGATTATTGTGTTTGATGAAAGATACACATGATTATAATGTATAATAGGAGTAATGTGCTAAATACCGACTTCTATGATTTTTTGATTCACTTACTTGGACAATCTTGAGTATTACATCGTTCCGTCTTTTGTTCCTCTGAGACTCCTGGACAATCTGGTAAACCCCCAGTACCCAATATCTTTGTTCTTGTCCGGTAAGCATTTATAATACCACCTCCACAAGTCACTGGACAACTCCCACCAATTCCTCCATTTCTGGGTAACCAATTACTCCAGCTAGACCATTCACAACCTAAGCAAACGTAGGCATCAAAGTATAATCATTAATTGGACGTTGAAACTGGATTTTGTCTGCAACATATATCATTTAAAACTGAAATAGTCCCTGATCCGAATTTTTCTAAGAGCTCTATATAATGAATTTGTTGTCCGGGTGTCAGCCACAAAAAACAACTACTGCATAGTGTTCCTACATATATGCTCTACGTACATTAAGCTATCTTTCATGTCTTTTCAGTTAGAAAAAGACGATTTAAGCAAGGATGTATTGATTTCACATGGGTACATGCACTCTTGACTTAACATGGGGATATCATCAGATTTATAAGCCATCGTGGTGTTGAGTAATTCGGAAGGGGGATTATACATACTTTCTATTTACGTCAGATTATGGTTTAGGATAGTAAGGATTTGTTTTCCTTATGACTGTACTCTTATATGTTTTCTTTTCCTATCCTGCATTCTCATGACAATTTCTATAATTAGTATATAAGCTATGTACTGTTTTGGAGTAAAGACTGACAATAAAGATCAAATTTCAACTTGCATTGGTTGGTGTTGCATGGCGATGTTCGCATTTCAAAATCCGATCCTGGACAGATACGTGCCCCGCCAATGACTTTCTCCAGTTTAGTCCTACGTCTGGTACTAGTAGAACTTCCTCCCCCACAAGAAACTGGGCAAGGGCCATCAACCCACATACCCCAATCAGTCCATCGGCATCCTATACGCAATGGTTATATTACAATGAGTAGACACAACTATTGCTGTACCTCTTAAAATGATACCTCAATCATACAAATAAGCGGAAATATATAAATGCTTGTTTTTGTTAAATTATGTTCCAAAATAGTGTAAATGTGTAGTATGTTAAGTGCATATACCTCTACATTGATCCCTTGTGCACGATACAATCCTTCTGCCGGTAGCTCTACCTAAACAATCTGAAGACCCTGCTGAGCTTGATCCCCATGATTTGCTCCTTGTTCGCGTTTGAGTCTCAGATCCAGACCCACACGTTACTGAACATGTACCAGAGACCCACTGTCCCCAGTCTGACCACAAACAGGCTATAAATATAAATGCATCGAATAAATGCAAGGTTGGACCCAAGATTTGTGAGCGAATAAAACCTAGAAATAAGATCCAATAGTAAATACATGTACAACCTACAAGAGCTAAGCAAATTGTTTTACCATATTAAACATAGTTGGATACATAACAAAGGTCAATCTTATTCATTCAGTCTTACTCGTTCCTTCTTAACCTTTTATTGCTCTTTACTACTCCATATCCTAAACTGATTTTTCATTTGATTCTCTTACTTCGACATTCTTGAGTATTACATCGTTCTGTATCTCGTTGCTCTGAATTTCCCGGACAATCTGGTGAACTTCCTCCGGTGCTAAATATCTTCGTTCTTGTCCGGTAAACATTTATTCTGCCACCTCCGCAAGTCACTGGGCAACGCCCACTCGATCCACCATTTCTTGGTGACCAACGACTCCACCCGGACCATTCACAACCTAAGCAAACAAAGACGAAACAGAAGTTCATACTAATTGTTTACTTGGCATTTAAAATAACTGAAATTACAATACTTTGTGAAAAATTGGGTTATTTTTATCCGAAGAATAATTAAATATTTTATGAAAAGTACATTTTAATTCCGCATTTCCTAAATTGATTTTTATATAGATTCTCTTACTTCGACATCCTTGAGTATTACATCTTTCTGTATCTCGTTGCTCTGAGACTCCTGGACAATCTGGTGAATCACCGCCGGTACTGAATTCCTTAGTTCTTGTCCGGTAAACATTTATTCTGCCACCTCCACAAGTCACCGGGCAACGTCCACCATTTCTAGGTAACCATCGACTCCAATCCGACCATTCACAGCCTAAGCCAACATTGCCATAGTAATTCATACTTATGTTTTCATATTCGAAAAAATAGAAAATTACCATAGTTTATATAGCGAACCAAAGCAAGGTAGTCTTAAAGGATATAAGCCCAAGACTCAATGCATAGTTTGCTTAATCATGCCATGAAAGTGTTGTTTCCAAACCTAAGCAATTTTCTTTATGTGACGAAAAGTTCATTTTTCGATGAAGGGAAAAGTTTTGTTCCTTCTTATCTGAGTGTACTTTTCGGACACCTTGTAATTATTTATTGTAAGCCGATACACTTATTCTACTAAGAGCCGAGTTTTAACTACTGTTACATTATTTTTATTTATTGAATAAATACTTTTTAATACACGTTTGATGTACTGTACATGTGCTGTGCTGTATATAATTTGTGTTTTCTCATTTTCCGTTAGAGAGTTTGTCTATATTAATGAAATACATGTACAGTGTCTATATAATTCTTTATTTCCAGAATTTGACAATTTTTCTACAAATTGTATTAAACTGATGAACACTAAGAATCTTACTTGGACAAAGCCTTATGTTGCATTTTTCGCTTCTGGTTTGTTCAGAATCTCCTCTACAGCGCTGCGAAACTCCAGTGTTACTTAATATCTTTTCTCGAGTTCGGGTTTGAATTTCACTGCCTTCCCCGCATATTACAGAACAAGCACCCCTCTTCCACGTAGCCCAATCACCCCAGGAGCAGCCTGTGGTATGTAATAAAGATACAACAATATAATTTGGGTATCGTGAATTTTTGTTGCAGTGTCACAAGTTCACATTACACGTTTGGTCATAGGCTTTTTGCCCTAGAAAATTAGTGAAGTTACTATGATGTGCGTATATACTCATTATTACGATGTCGGATAATAGCATGCTTACAGCTGTAGAGTTTAAATTAAACAACATCCATTCGGATGATGAAATCAATCAACTACATGATGAATGAAAATGTTCTTGTATTGTGTTATTTCTTGGTTAAAAGAAAATTCCGTTGATTGAAGAAAGATTCAAGGTTCAAGATTTTATTGTGTTTCAAATAGCTCCCGACTTTGAATAAAAAGTCTATTTATAAAATGTACCAATTCGTTTACAATTTCATAATCATCTTAAATCATTGAAAACTTAACTTTTTCTTCATCAGACATATTTTCAAATGAATCAATAAAACTTAGATTGTTAAAAAATTCATATCTGTAATCTTGATAACCATCGCATAAAAGAAGAAAATGCTTTTCATTTTCCACTTTCCCCTTATTGCAAAGGAGGGCGAGTTGTTTGTAGAATGAATCGGGGGATTTTTTCATGAATTTCGCTTATGTTTTTCATCCAAAAAACATCAATACACTTTAAAACATTTTGTTTACTTTAAGATTACACCATGTAATCCAAAAATATATTTCTCATTTTCAAAGATAATCCATGGATTAACACCCGGGTATTTTTATTTTTCAATCTTCAGAGGGCTGGGAATCAATGATGCTCAACGCTTTTGAATACGATAAATGCTGTTTTAAATAGGTTTTACGTATGCCAATAATTTCTCAAATTATGTAAGCTGAATGCATTCCTTAATCCCTAGAATGCCAATCATAATAACATTCTTTTGTCTTGGCCACTTAATATGTTTTGTTGCTCTCTGATCATCAAATCAAATTGTTGTTATTTAAAGATGTCAGTCAAATCTGGTGAAACAGCACAACATTTACCTAAATAGCACGAGTACATATTATGTAACTCATCCATAATATTTCATGCATCAGGTATTAAGGCTTAGGGGATTAACTTTTACACATAAACTGAACTGACAGATGTGTATGCTTACATGTACAACTTCCAGGATTGTAAGAATTCAAAACTTGTTGATAGCCATATTTTCCTGAATGTGACATCGAGATATTATGGCATTTATGAGTGGTAAAACATGAAAAAAAGCATTTTCATTTAAAATTAGCATATGATTTGAATTGATGCCAAGAAATGTATTACTTAACTGTATCCGTTTTACATCCATTGCAGTTGGCTACATTATAAGACAAGGCATTCACATGCAAAATGTCAACACCTGCCATTTGTTACAGACACCAACTGCCAAACACCAACTTCCAAATGATAAACACCAACCACTGAACACCGTCCACAAAAAAGTTTGAGACCATAACAATATGTCACCACTTGTCACTTGTGGTGGTGACATAAAAATGATCATGGAAAATTGTATTTTTTTTAAAAAGTAGGAACTTCTGAGGTTATTAGAAAATTGGAAGACAAGGAAGGATTCTGGCTGTAAGATATTAGGGTTATAAATTGCAATGAAACTAAAACAAAACATTCTTTTTCTCAAATATCACAGTGTATATTCAAATCACAAATACGATATCATACAATTACAATAAGGGTCTAGTGCACTTTCCATTATGATATCCCCATGAACAAAATGAATCATTTTTAGGTGTAACATAAAGAATACAATGTCACATAATACTGTGGAAAATATTTGAGCGTTTGGACCCACATGGGCTGAGGTTGAGGTCATTTAGTTCAGCAAGGGTGTATTGACTTGCCATTGAATGGGCTCCATTGACTTAACATGTGGATATCATCAATTCCAATAGAGGCCATTGGTTTCTATTGATTTTCACAAAAAACCTAAAATACACTATGACCTGAATCGATTGCAAATTAAATAATTTCACAGTATGACACAAATGGTATATCACATCAGATGTGCAAATATAAAGTTTGCAATCGATTCAGGTCATACTTCAAATTAAAAGATTATACATTTTTTCCATCATTTTTCCCTACAAAATGGCTATAGAAAAATGCTTCAAAAGCAACTTTTACACTAATGAAATCCCATACAACTTTGTAAATCCAAAGATTATACTGTTATGTTTCATTAATTAATAACATATTTGGATAATATGTTGGGATGTGTAGGATGCAAATGGATTTTGACAGATACAAACAGACTTCTTGGTTTGGCATCTCTACCCCTGTACACTTTATGATTGAATATTGGCCCTAATAAGTGGCCCATTCATCAATACAGTGCTGAATATAGGTCAACAAGATACTAGTGTACATATAAATGTAATAATACCTATACCTAGGTCTGAATATTAAACTCCAGCCAAATAGAGCCAGCACAATATTTCAACCTTTGTAACCCTTGCAAAAAGATTTTCTTGCAATAAAAATGTGAAAATAGCTTAGGGTACTTGTAAGCCAATCTGATTTTAAGGTAGATATGTCTCGATATTTTCACTAATTTTCATGATTATAAATACCGATAATCAATGAAAGGGACAATATTTTCACATTTGTAATTGTATGTGTATGCATGGTCCATGGTGTATGTTACCATAATTCTTTTTATCCACTTAAAATGTCAAAAATATTGCCTAATTTATAATTATCAGATAATTTATTCATCACCAAAATTAGTAAAAATTATCAACATGCAGAACTACCTTAAAGAGTTTAATCTCTCACTCAGTCACAATCATGTCAACCAAAACTGTACTTGTATTACATAATATAGGATTATACAGCTTACCATACGTGTGCAATCCATAAAGCATCCACACTGACATCTTTACAGAATCATACATAATTTTTGAATATAAACTAACTCAACCCAATAAGGCGAGTACTAAAGAATGTACTTACCTGCCATCTAAAAATCTGCTTGGAGCTACCATTGGATTACCATTGGATTCCTCCAAGAGAATATTCTAGGGATTATGGAATGCATTCAGCTTACATAATTTGAGAAATTATTGCCATACGTAAAACCTATTTAAACAGCATTTATCATATTCAAAAGCGTTGAGCATCATTGATTCCCAGCCCTCCGAAGATTGAAAAATAAAAATACCTGGGTGTTAATCCATGGATTATCTTTGAAAATGAGAAATATATTTTTGGATTACATGGTGTAATCTTAAAGTAAACAAAATGTTTTAAAGTGTATTGATGTTTTTTGGATGAAAACATAAGCGAAATTCATGAAAAAATCCCCCAATTCATTCTACAAACAACTCGCCCTCCTTTGAGAAATGCTGTCTTTACTTCAAGTCGATTCTGTTTAGTGCCATCTTTTCTCTTTCCCTCGTGTCCCCCTGTTTCAATTTTTAAATTATGGTTTGCTAATCTAAACCTGGCAATTTTAAAAATTAACATTTTGTTCACACTTAAATATAAATATATTTCAAGTTTGTAATCAGTTTTTATACAATTTCCGGGTTTTTCTCTTATGGCTCTTCTATTATATTCTATATATTTTCTTTAAATAATTTATTTAAGAAACTGTTGCCATCAAAGCCTTTAAAACTCGTTTACTTACACTGAATATCACATTGCTCCTCTCTGGCTTCTGTGATGGTGGATATCACTTCCGTACAGTCTGGCGGACGAAATCTTGATTTAGTTCTGGTGCATGTTCTACGACCAGTCCCATCACATGAACAGGGTTCGCATGACCAATCTGTGTATGGTTGTTCTGGGCACTCGTCCGGGCCTAAATAGTATATATATTCATATCGAAAAGGATCTAACTCAACGCATCGACAAAAAAGAGGAAGTTGACTTGAATTCTTTTAAGAAGCCCCTTTGAAGCATGCTAATATCAATGTGAAATTTATTTGTCATTCAAAAATTGTCATTTAACTTACATCCAGATCAACAGTTTCTATATAATAACTACTTTGTAAAGGATGGTATGAAACTATAAATTGAACCATAGCCTACCTCTAGGCACACAGCGGCAGTTGTTATAGGTTTTAATTTCAAAAACTTGCGAAGGAGGACACTGTCTATTAACAGAGTTAATCCCGGATATATCTGTGACAATGTAGTTCCTGCCCTCGGTAGGAATTTTCCACTGGTTGTTAACGCAACAAGATGTAAGATTACCAGGGTCTACCCCATACCTCACATCGCCTTCAGGAGGACAACCTACAATGTATTGATGGCGTTTGATACAAACAATATGTAAGATTACGAGGGTCTCCCCATACCTCACGTTGCCTTCAGAAGGACAATCTACATTGTATTAATGGTGTTTGATACAATCAATATGTAAGATTACGAGGGTCCCCCCATACCTCACATCGCCTTCAGGAGGACAACCTACAATGTTTGAATCTCACCTTTAACTCTGCAACATTGTTCAGATTTATGCTGTATAGATGCACCGACACATTCAGCACGGTCCACAATATCCTGGGAGCCTCGACGAATTCGCGTATGCAAATTGGTTTCTACATCTCGTTTGCTAATACAAGAGCAGTCAGAACAAGTCCTTGTTCGATTGCACGTCCTTATGCCAAACTCAGAACATGGCTCTGTGATGTTACCTCTATTTGCTTGATCGTCAGACCTCATACATGAGCTATAGACCCATTCGCTCCATTCAGTCCATTTACATTCTAATTTAATAAATAATACTTCACTCAAGTCTCATATACAGCATCTAGATTACAAGTCAACCAACTCACTAGAGTTGAGTGGCCGGTCATTTGGATTACCAGTCACAATAAAAAGCATTAGGGAGTTTAAGCTTGCATATAAAATCGATACGCTAACCTATACGTATGACCAAACAAATGCATCCTTTAAATATTTTCCGTTAACGTTTAGGTTGTGAAAAATATTACAAGCTTAAACTCCTTAATGATATGTTACTACGGCATAACGACCACAGATGGTTGCAGTTGGGTAAACCAAGTATGAAGATTACATATTTGTAGACAGCTTACTCATGCAGCATGCAGTGTTACAACTTTCAATTTTTCTTTCTTCAGAGTCTCCTTGACACACACTTGAAGCCCCAATGTTGCCAAATATTTCAGTCCTTGTCCTGTATTTAGCTATGGTGCCACCACCACAACTCTTTGAACACCTTTCATCATTTCTGGTCGTCCAATTAGTCCATTGAGACCATTCACAACCTAAACAATGACATATCTTGTAAGACACTACCAAAAATGTTCCACATTGAATACAATTACAAGTTGTCCCAAATTGAAAAAAAATATTACAAATAAAGACTCCGACAAATACTCATGCCTTGCGCAAGTTATTTATATAGACTATTGATATTTGGACATTTCCTCTAACAAGTGGAACATAATTAAATATAAGATAAATTTAAAGTTGAAGATGCAACCAACCATGTGGATATAATACGTTAATCTTGAAAGTAATTGAAAAGATACATGAACGAATGTTTAAATATAGATATCATTTTCTCGACACTTACATTGAAATGTGTTACAAGTTGTTCTTCTATCCTCAACAGAATCACCTTGGCATTCAGAGTTTGGAAATCTTGTACCCAACTGTTTTCCTCTTGTCCTTTGTTCGGCTCTTTCTCCGGTTCCACATAACTTAGAACAAGGTGCACCCGACCATGAATTCCATTTTGACCATTTACAGCCTGTAATTTTTACACCTCTAAGTAAAATGAACAGACATGTCCCATTCATCTTTCAAAAGTGATGAGTTTTGTCGCTTTCTCACGACAATGATTCAAATAAATGTATTGACAGGATTTTATGTGTTGCTCAAAGGGTAGCTATGGTTCATGGATTAAACGCTACCAATAACATTGGATCGCAAAAATAATAGGAACGATGGAAACGCAAAAATGATGGAACTGCGATTTCCAAATATTGCAGTAAATCCCTGGTACCCAAAGAGAGGACTATTCTCGGTTTGGAGAACGAAGTTCATCACGCACTCTAATTGAGTGTTACCCCTGCTTCGGACAAATTTGATTTTTTACATAATATAGATTTGAATGTCTTCTTTTGAATAGTCACAATTTAATTAGGGTTATATTTCAAGATTTTTCATAAAAAGTATAAGCGCAATACACTGGTGAACTTCTTTCTCCAAATCGGGACTTGTATTTCATTGAATCGGTCTAATTAAGCGTTACCCTGCTTCGGACAAATTTGATATTTTTACATCATGTAGACTTAGATGTCCTCTTTTGAATATTCATTATTTAATTTGGGTGATTTTTCCATATTTTTCATGAAAAAAATTATTAGCCAAGGAGACTGTCCTCCAAACCGAGACTTGTCCTTTCAAAAACATACAAAAAAGGTTTATACGGATCTTGTAGTTGAAGGAAGTAGATATATAGTATTTGTGATTATAATTAAAAGGACATAGTATTGGCAGTCATGCACAAATGTCCCAACCATGCCTTGATGCTCTTGACACAAACGCAATTTAAATTAATTAAATGTTGGCATTATGGGAATACCGAACACCCTTCAAATAGTCCAGACTTAAATCGAGCTAAGCACACTGAGGCTTTCGTAAAATAAGATTAGCTAGATGCCCTACTGGAACAAAAACCTCATTCCAAAGAAAACCTCTAAGATATGAAATGATTATAAGATGCAACACATATGTTTTAAAGATTCTAAGCCCTACGTGAATTCTTTATTCTGCAGCTGATGATCAACTCTCAAATAAATAACTGTTAAAAATGAAGTTCCAATGAAGATACGTACATAATACTTGTTATACTCGATATTAACTGTCAGTGAATATTCTCGAGAAAGAATAATTCATATTTATTTATAAGATAATAGCCTATAGTTATGTTAAAAAACATATTCATTAAAGCGCCCTATACACTTTGGCTATTCTCTTCTTTTAATAACAGTTATACAGGGCGTCCACAAAAATGTATGTCCAATTTAAAATCCAGATTACTAGAATCCTGGGTATTTTTGAAATACAAAGTAGCAGCAAAAAGCCTAGTTTGTCCTCCATCAAATGATAACTAAATCATTATTTGACTGTCTTGGATGACTGAGCAATGATGACCATTATGAAAGGTGGTAAAATTTGCGCCATACCAAGATATTTTCCTGTGTTTCAATCAATATATGATAGGCAAAGTATTATTTTTCTGTTACAGTGGTTTAGAGGTCAGCCCTTTCATAATGGACTTGAGGCTGAGTTATTTTCTCATGTAAAGAGGTTTGACAAACTAACAATGGAATAGGCCTGCAAAGATGGTGGTCAGTTGGGTATCAAGAAATCTTAAAGGTACGTTCACACCAAAGGCGAATGCCACGCTTTAAATCGGCGAGCAAAGCGCCGTCATTTTTGTCATTTTTCTTCATACCAACGGCGATTTGATGGCGCTTTAAAGCGGCTTGTAAAGCGGCACCAAAGCGTAACAAAGCTTGATTAAAGCGTCGGGGTCGTAATAGGTCGTAGAAAAGCTCAGAGTAAAACGGGATATTCGGCAAGAGCGCCAAAAAATTTTAAACTGTTTAAAAATTTTGGGCGCTCTGTTACGAATCGATTAAGCGCCGAGAGCGTATCAAAGCTTAACAAACCGTAACAAAGCTCAGAAAAGCGTAGGAAAGCTTAACATAGCTCTAAAAGGTTCCTCACGCTTTGATCCCGCTTTGATCAGGCTTTGTTACGCTTGCAATCACGCTTTGAAAAGCTTTGATAAGCATTATTACGCTTTGATGCGATTATGACGCTTTAAATCAGGCTCTGATGCGATTGCAAAACTCTGTTGTGCATTGTTACGCTCTGTTAAGCTCTGTCACGCATTGGAAAATGTCGAGATCGCCGATTCCATGCCGCTTTTGATCCAATGACTATATAAAGATGCAGTAGATCCATAAAACCATTGCATCTTTGACTCGAGAACACGATGGCAGAACAACGAGATCCAGAAATTCCAGATGGACCAGAGCATGACCTATCTGAAGAAGACATGACGTTTGTCGCACGGCGTGATATAGCGTGTGAAAACTTTCAAGCGTAACAAAGCCTAGCAAAGCGTTTCAATCCTTGATTAAAGCGTCTCAATTCGTTGGAAAGCTTGAGAGTCCCTCAGGAAAGTGTAACAAAGAGTGTCAGATATTGATGAAAGCGTCTGACCTCGTGTCAGATCTTCATGCCAGATCGTAGCAAATCTTGAGACATCTTAACGAAGCGTGTCAAGTGGTAACAGACCGTGAATAGACTGGGGTCCCCGCTTTAAACCAAGCTGTGTTAAGCTTTCCTACGCTTTGAGTCAAGCTTTGTTGAGCTTTGTTACGGTTTGTTAAGCTTTGATACGCTCTCGGCGCTTCAATCAATTCGTAACAGAGCGCCCAAAATTTTTAAACAGTTTAACATTTTTTGGCGCTCTTGCCGAATATTCCGCTTTACTCCGAACTTTTCTACGACCTATTACGATCCCGACGCTTTAATCAAGCTTTGTTACGCTTTGGTGCCGCTTTACAATCCGCTTTAAAGCGCCATCAAAGCGCCGTTGGTGCGAACGCTTGAACAGTTTAAATTTTTTAGCGCTCTTGCCGAATATCCCGCTTTACTCCCGAGCTTTTCTACGACCTATTACGACCCCGACGCTTTAATTAAGCTTTGTTACGCTTTGGTGCCGCTTTACAAGCCGCTTTAAAGCGCCATCAAAGCGCCGTTGGTGTGAACGTACCATAATAGTCAATGTGGATACCGAGAAATGTGCAAAAGTATGAAGAACATCGAACAAGTTTGAACTTGAATATTAATGTTTGGAACAAAAGATATTCACTCTGTCAATCCCTCTTGAATGCTAACTTGACACAGTGCTGATTTACCACCTTTCATACTGGTCATGGTTGCTCAGTCATCCATGACAATAGCATAATCATCCAGGTACAATTTGATAGAGTACAAACCAGGCCTTCTACTGCTTTATATTTCAAGAATTTGGTTTGGATTCTAATAACCTTGCTTTGAAGTTGGGTATATGTTCTTGTACTGTCAACTGTATACTTGAATATTGATATGAGGCTTTAAGAATGATGCAGAATAAAATCGTATTTATTAATGAAACTAAATCATACAAATCAATTCAATTCGATGAAAAGGAAAATACAGGATAATACTGATTTATAAGATTGAAAACAGAAATATGATTCTATACTCATCACTTTCTATCATAAGACACAACGCACATTTCTTCAGTTTCAAGAAATGAGAGCGCTTGGCACGCGTGTTTATTAATGAACATAGTACAACAGTTACATAAATAATGAGAACATGACAATGTATGTACGCATACGGTGAGTGAGTTCGTGAATGTCACTAGAAAATACAAAACAGTATAACTGCATATGTATGACAATTCGATTGACACCATTAAAACCTCATCCAATTAATTAGGATTTATGAGGACTCTTAAACTAAGCAAAGACCCAAATTATCGAGGCCAAAATTCAAAAAAGGTCTTTGCAGAGATAAAAAGGTATGCCAATCAAAATATCAATTTGTACGATCAAAATCTGACAAAATTTATGAAACATACAGAAATAATATAATCTACAAATTAGGAGTTAAGTGTATTCCTCGCACGCTGGCAAGCCTCAGAATGACGTGTTCCTAACACTTACTCACTCACTCCAAACACAAATAACCGCGAAACCGTTCAGCCAATAGAAATCAATTTATGTTCTCAAGTCGCTACACTGCGTTCCGCTTCACCGAACATAAATAGCTATTCAAAGTTGAAATTGAAATCAACTGTATATACTATACCTACCTACAGGAGGAGGTGGTGGCGGAGAGGGTATCTCACAGCTACAGTTTTTGAACGAGCGTATAACAAACTTTTGTCCTTTCGGACATTCCTTTTTTATGGTTTTCCCATCGCTGACTCGTGTACATAAATATTTATTCCTAGTCGTTGGCTTGTGGAATGTGCCATTGATGCAACATTGTTCAGGGGGATCCCCAGATCCATAACGAGGATCTGATCTATCTGGACATTCTACAATTAATATATAGGTAAAAGTGTGACTTATTAAGATCGTCAATTCATTGAAAACTTATTTGAGACTGTCAAAGTTGCATAATAGGTTTAGGTTTCGGTCCTGAAATATATATAAACAAGGCGACGTGTACACATTTTGTGACTTCAAAAGTCAAACGATCAAGATTGAATTGTTTTGCATAACTTGACTGGAAGATAAGTGTTTTGCGAATTTTGCGAATGCGGTCTAATCTATTTATGTCGCTTTATCTGCTTGTTACAATATTGTTATCTTTGAATGTATCCGGGGTAATGGTTCACGTAAACTAAGCATTTTTCATTTACAGATCATGTCACATGACCATTTGATTTTCAATCTGTCACATTGAAAGTTTCGGATATCCTCGAGTCTGTGATATTAGAGAGTTTAAGCTTGCACTGTTTTCACAACCTAAACGTAAAGGAAAAGTACATGAATCAATATAGGAATGTGTCGAGCGCGCAGTTTTGTATGCGCTTATTTCAATGAATCTTACCTGGTTGTGCAATACATTCGCAGCCCCAAAGTGAAAATAGTTCTCCCTTTTTACATTGTTTGAGGAGCTGAGACCTGCCATTAACATGCTGACACAGAAACTTTCTGCCCTCCTTAGGCGAATGCCATATAGCATTTATACAGCATTTAGTAGGCGGATCACCATATTTAGGATCACCTGGCGGTGGACATACAGCTAAAACACATACATTTGCATGGATGTTAAGCTTGGATATATTATCCGAGTGACATTTATTCTTATCAGTATTTATAGTTAACCAGCGTATACAATAGCTACATATATTTAAAACGAATCTACGTGTGGAAGATAATATAATTAAGTTACCCGGTTTTATCGAACAATTCTTGAGGCAAGGAAAAAGTGCAAATTTAACCCCCAGTAGGTTCTCTTCTAAACACACTTTCCAGCATACATCATCAACAACATATCCCTGTTTATCAAAACATTAATAAATAAATAAATATTATTCTATTGATAACAATCATTAAGTAGAGCAATGTTCTCTTGAATACCAAGGAAAACACATGGTGTTTAATTTTAAAGAGAACATCGCATCTATAACAAATCGAATGGGATTTGCTATTGATAGTCAATGTAAAGCCTTTTGTTCAAGCAAGATTGTTCAAGATGGCATTTTATGATATAAATCGAATATCTTTAGATATATATTTGCACACATACGAAAGGAAAATGACAAAACATCAATAAAAACACAGCAAGAAAAAGAAAACATCTAAGAGTTAACCAGTCAAAAGGAGAACAAACCCCAACTATCCCAAATCCATAATCTATCATGAGAAAATACAATGTCTTTGTACCTCCTCCCTCACCAGTCAAGCACCATAAGTATAGTCCGGGATAACAAGTTAATAAGTGAATTTTATATGGATAGTGGTTATTTGACATACCATCTTTAATTCAAAAATAGACATATTTTGTGACCAATCCCTTACCATGTACACAGTACTAACAGTAGATATCTTATAGCGCCTCAAGCTTTTCAAGAATTTGGCCAATCTATTGCTGAGGAATGACTCGTCAAATTGCTTCCAATTTTCTGTATGTAGTTCTCATTGCGTTGCTCTGGTATAGGATCTTCTGACATGCTATCTTGAATTTTTTAGTACTCACATAGCATTTACTCAATCGTTTTCATATCTTTGAATCTTGCTTATGATACTCTTAGGCTGCATTGCACGTAGTTTCAGTGAATTGGGTTCATTAGTTGCCGAGAAAATACTTGTCAAAAAGTCACTTAGTGTCTCATATTTTAGGACACCCGATATATTTCTCAGCCACCAATGTCATTTCCGGGATCCACCTTAAAAGGTGCCAAGTGAGAAAGTTGTCACGTTTTCATTTCTAGAACATATCCTCGAGACAATCAGACAATCACTCAGTTTTGCTTAAAAAAGGTTTGGTCAACAAGTTCATCATTTCTGATTTCATTTGATATACTTGAAATCGTAAATTCTTTTCTTTTGCATAAAATACATGATAGGGATTGTACACTGATTTCATGTGATATACTGTGATGTGATGTACTTGAAATCGTAAATTCGTACACTGATTTCATGTGATATACTGTGATGTGATGTACTTGAAATCGTAAATTCGTTTCTTTTTCATAAGAGACATGATAGGGATGGTATACTGTATGTATCTCATCACTAATGAAGAATATCTTATACAATTTATTACCTACCTTTTTGGTTGTACATTTACTTTTGCAGTCCACCAAAGCATTTTGGTTGCAAAGTTTCATGCATGGTTGGTATGTGATTCCTTTATTCTTTCCTTTTTTGCCACAGGATACTAAAACGATAGGGAGGTTAAGTTACACGTTTTTAAGAGAACATGTACATGAGTGTGTAATATTTCGACCCCCGGGATAACTGTCTCGCGCTATATAATAGTCCCGATTTATACTATATGCTACAATACTCCATCTGTCATACACAAATTTGCTTATAATTGAATCCTGGAACATTTGTTTATTGTATGCAGAACATTTATGTCTCTTCGAAAATACATCAAGATTTCAACATTGTGTCAATGGGTATTTAGCCAGGCCTTTTTCAGAAAACATGAAAATCTTCATAATTTAAATTAAGGTAGTTAAAGCCCGGTATACACCAATGGGGCAAGTTGGGACCTCCATAGACTTAACATTGCGTGGGACCTCGTGGGACCTTTTGGGATTTTGCCCCATGAAGTCCGTGGGACTCCATGGGACTCCGTGGGATTTTGCCCCATCTTGCCCCATCGAGTCCCATGAGGTCCCATGAAGTCCCACGTGGGACTCGGTGGGACTCGATGGGGCAAAATCCCACGAAGTCCCATGGAGTCCCATCGAGAATGAACATGTTCATTCTTTTCATGGGGCATCGTGGGATTTTCGATCATATGACGTGTTGTGTGAAGCCCGGCATACACCAATGGGGCACGGTGGGATTTGATGGGACTCCATGGGGCTTGATGGGACTCCACGGGGCACGATGGGGCAAAGTCATCAAGGTCCCATGGGATTTCGTGGGATTCGATGGGGCAAATTGGGATTCGATGGGGCAAGATGGGACTCGATGGGGCAAGTGGGTTTTTGCCCCATTGGTGTATACCGGGCTTAAGTAAGAAAATTACACTCAGAATTTAAATATTGTTGGTTTTTAATGTTTAAAAATATATTTATACTATGACAAGAATTGAAATTTATTATAATTTGTAATAAGACTTACCTGCTAGTACCAAAACAAAAATGACCAGCACGAAGGAGCCGCCCGGTCGCATCTTTACCCAGGTTGTGAGATATGATCAAACATCATATCATATAAGCAAAAACTGTATAGACCCCATAAATTCAATGAGACATTTGAAAAATTAGTACTTTTATACACGAAGTACGATCATTCATCTAACAATACGTATAGCCTATTATATCACCTGCTGTATCCACAAAAATCTACACGAGTTGACAAAAACTAACGAAGACATAAAAATGATTTACTTGTTGTTTGTGTTGAATGTATCAGTATTATTACTACTGAGGTTTGAACTATTTGGTAGCATATTTATCTCATGCATCGTTGCTCTGTATGGAGTATCCAGTTGAAAAATTATGTTAAACTACATCAATTATTAGAAGTAGTGGGCTGGGTCAAGGGTTCACATACCATCGTTACGTATACGTAGATATTAACACGTTTGATGATGGAAAGGTTTAAACAATTTATTGGGTTTCACACAATGTTTCGAAAGTCGCACAACGAATCATGAATATCTGTATCAAATATGAATGAAATCGAAACGCCAACCTATACGTATGACTAATCTCCCATACAAATGCATCGCTTGAATATTTTCCGTTCACGTTCAGGTTGTGAAAAACATTGCAAGCTTAAACTCCCTAATATGAAATAATATCGGCACGTGGTGTACCGTATAATCCCGATACAATATATAGTTCTAACTGGTAATCAAAAGCGTAGCGTGATCTTAAATATTGCAGCTAAAGTGTAAAGAGTTATCGAGTTGAAAATTTGAAATTATATTGTTGAGTATTGTACTGATGAACTGTGAGATTTACATAATATACTCTAACAAAGGCAACCGAAAACTGTGACTTCCTGATTTCTTCACATACGTACCTGCTACTCTCACAGTACATCGATATCATTAATACTCAACAATGTAAAGTAGAAACATTAGTTAGAAATATAAAATAATGAAAAAGTTACCGCATTTTTATCAGTACTTATTGAACGCCCTGTAATTGTCTCTGTATCAACTACGAAAATGACTAGGTGTATGCCAAGGCAAATAGAAATCAATTTTAATAGACTTAAAGCTGGTTTACTTTTGAACAGTAACTTTTGTTTCGGTAACAGATCCCAAAAGTCAATGTGGTGCTATTCCTCTTACAGATTTATCAGACTTGAACGGTATTTTTTAACATATTTTCTCTCGAATGGAGATAAAAATTTGGATATTAAAACAAATAAAAACTGATTAAAATCACTACTCATTCCACTTTTCCTGCCAACCAAAGTCTGGGACTGGTTAATGTTAATGTTAACTTTTGACACCATAACTTGCAGAATTGGGGAATAAACAAAGCAAATAACAACAAAACATTTTTATTGTTCTCTGATTAAAATTATTTCGATTGCCGATAATGTCGACTTATCAACATTTACATTTCCAAATTTATCCTATTGAATTGATTATAGAAATAAATCTGAAATCTGTAAAAACGCCCTGTAATTTGAGTCATGTGATCAGTTCCTATTCAATCATCATAAGGAAGTGGGAAACATTTCAATGTTATAATAAAATACACATATATTGATTTTCATGTAAAAACACGTTTCTGTATGTGAACAATAAGAAAGGAACAAAGGGAATGCTGCTGAATATATATTTATTTAATCATAGAAAGAGAAGATGTAGCGCTACATGTAAGGGAATGAAATTAAATACATTGAGAATTATCCATGTCGTAGCCAAGTTTGTCATCGTTCTGTTGATATCTATTCTGAAAATAAGCAAAAAGTGTTAAAACATGGGTATTGATAGACATATCGTGACTATCATCGCTATTAATTTGGAACTACAAGTCAATAAACAAAGGAATCACAATCGTGGACCTTGTCAGGCGACGCAATGAGTTCACACTACTATACCTTGCATTTGGTGTTCATGAGCAACCCATTTGGCTTATTAGTAATGATTATGTATTTGTTTTTATTTGTCTGTTCCTTATGAATGGTTTATCGGTTGAAAATTAGATGCTAGTAAGGCACTTTCAAAAATATATTAAACAATTCAATTAGACAAACAAAGTATCTTATGCATTTCTAGGTGTTAGGTATAGTAGTGTGGAGTTGTGCCATTTTCTCAACATTACACTCACCATTTTGGCTATTTGCCAGGAAAAATTAAGCAACGGGGACAGCAACTCCCTGCTATAGGTGGACACGGCGAACAATGCACATGTTCACAACCACCGCCAGGGGGCCCTAAAAGAGTAATGGCTGGATTCAAAAGGCTCCCCGAGACAGGAGAACAGACGTTACGTGGAATAGACGTTTTCTTAAAATGAGTTGCCATGTCAAATTTTGCCCTTCAGCGAATCACAGACAGGTTGACAGACATATTTTAATGACGTTGTTGTATCACTTGTCTACACATACTATTTTGTGGTTCGGTTAAATGAAATACACAACAATGCAACTAACCTGTGCAACATTGTTCCGTCTTATATTCTATTGAAGAACCAGAGCATCCTAATCCCCCTCCCCCTCCTCCAGTTCTACGAGAAACTTCAACTTCGGCGCTAGCATCATCAGTGTCTCTCTTTCCATGTGGACCACATGGTTTACAAACCCTAGTTCTAGTACACGTCTTAGTGCCACATGTCCCATGACCAGAAGAACCACCATCGGGATCGTCATCATGGCGTTTGCCTCGATGTATTGAACAGGGTCCACACGTCCAGGGACCCCATGAATCCCATATTCCACAATCTATAATTTTTATTGTGAATTATTTTCACTGTGAAGGTAAGTTTTTACACTTGCAAATTATTTCTTAAAAAAAAATTCGATTATAACTTCCATACTCTCTGATACGAAACTCCGAAACTAAAATACAGTTTATTTAATTTTTACGCCTGCTAATGTAGTAATTTAATGCAAAGATGACATATATTTACAGCAAGGAGGATGTGAGGGACAGTCTATGTATCCAGTTTCAATGGAAGCGCCTGGACAACTGGGTCCTCCCGAAATAAGAGTTCGTGTTCTCCATTTGTATTTTCGTCCATGCCCACATGTAGTAGAACAGTGTCGATATTGCCATGGGCCCCAGTCACTCCAACGACAACCTTGAATCGAATGAAATCAATGTTTAATAGATATGTATACACAAGTGCTGAAAAGAAAGGATAATAATACTACTGTCAAATACCAGTCTTATGGAAAACAATCCCCAGCAATCCCAACCCATAATCTAACGTGAAAAGAAATAATGTCTAATACGCTCCCCACACCATTTAAGTACCATTTTCATAACCCGGGGCGGCTACACCAAGGAACATTTCATTCATACTGGAGTCATTACAATGTATGTTGAAGAATTTATGTTTTATTGAATGAAGAATTTATGTTTTATTGAAAGTACACTACACAACGTCCGATAGTATAATCCCGCGTTTTTTGACCGAACTAAAACGCTTTGTTATTGCTCTTGACAAGTTTTTTCACATTCCTTAAAAAGTGCAAAAATATGGCATTTACGTTTGGGGTATTGTGAAATATTATTCAAAACATATTTCTTTTTCATTTACTCTGCGGCATTTCATCCAATTTACTTCCAATATCAAATTAAATGATACGCACAAATAGACACATATTTAATTTTTTCCTTTCTTATCATTATGTTTCGATTGCATATTTTAACTGAATTGAATATGGATTTATTTGTTTCAAGGAGGGATGGTCTTGCATAACGATTAATTTATTCCAATAATGTTCATCCTTGGCACATAAACGAATATCTACAAGCTAGAGTAAGAATGGACAACTGAATGGTTACCATATATTATACTTATGTAAGAGTTCATACTATACGTCTGAGAAAAAACAACAACAGACGGCAATCAAATAGAGCTTACACAATGAACCATGACAAGGTTTTTGTTTAGTTTCAGTTATGGTTTCCGAGTGAGGATGCGGACAATTTGACGATCGTGTTCGAGTCCCTGTTCGCCGACATGTCACAAAATGCACGCCATGAAAGCATCTGGGACATGGATCGCAAATCCAGTCTGACCATATAAATGGAGACCATTCACAAGGAACTGTAATCAATCGTGATACATTGTTAATACAGGGTGGTCAAAAACGATAACCTTGTATTTTCCTCATAGGTTTGTGATTCTGAGAAACCTTATACCCTGCTATTTCGCACATTTGTACATCATCCAATTACCTACCATCCCAATATATTTCATGACCATCAGACTTATAGTCGCAATGTGACAGCGCTTTAAAAAAAATGCCCCAGGTGTGGCCATCGTCGCGCTGTAGGCAAACCTGCACAAGTTGTCAATGACCCGACTGCAATCCTCAGCAAGTATGCCCTGAAATACACGGATGATCTCCCTTTTGAAGTCTTTACTTGTCGTGGGTCATTCTTCTACGATATATTTTGGCATATCCCCCCAGGTATATGTCAGGTACGGACATTTTGGACGGTTTGTGCAGGTTTGACTACAGAGCAATAGTGGCCATTTGGGCATGTTGTTTAACATCCTATAATATTGTGACTATCAGTTTGATGGTCACGAAATAATACAGGCTGGTAGGAAATTGGATGATGTACATATGTTCCAAAGAGTAGGGGATAGTTTCCCAAAATGACAAAGATATGGTGAAAATAGCGACAGGGTTGTCGCTTTCAGTACTGATAGATTAGCACGAGCAACACCAGCTGCAGGACATTATGGCAGTGAATACGAGTGAAGATTTTACCGAGGAATATTAGATAATCCCGGGTAGAGAATATTGAAATAATCAACCTGTCAGTCATCATTTAACAGACTAGTATTATAGATTAAGTATCGTTTTTGTTTTAACATAATTTTTTATAGAAATTACTAGGCATATTTAAAAACGGTACATACCACAATAGCAGTTATTCCAATCAAATATCCTGAAGATTTTGCCATATGGACACGGCTTTATTATGTAATTGCCAGGGTCAGGGATCTTCTCACACTTGTACTTGTTATCGTGATACGGTTGGTGCCATATACCAATGTTGTTTTCAGTGAGGCAACACCACTTCTTATTGTTATACCGCCAATGTGGCGGTGGTGGACAACCTAAGAAGGAAAATACAACCCTTATGTCTGCAAGGGGAGAGTCAAATTGACCCCCTAAGTTTGTTTTTTTTACTTTGGAAGTGCGACCAAGCTTGGATAAGGAGAACTTTAAGATGTAAATTATTTTTAAGAGCATGAAGAAATACAACTATACGACGGCGCCCGCATCAGATATGACCTAAGTCTAAGTAAGTAAATAACGGTAGATTTTTTGTTACCCAAACCCAGATGTCGAAATTAAGAATCTGAAGTCTGAAAAAGTTTGATCGGTTTCCGATGCCTATTTATTCATGAGACTCTTGTACTTTTCCTCGTTCAAATCCGGTATACAGATTGCTAGAGTCATATTGTACATAGTTAAGAATTTAATTTTTATATGTAACGACGCATATATTTTTGATTGCATGATGACTTATTATTAAAATTGCATGATTCACAGTATTTTGATTTAGGAAACATGTACAGACGTCTTGATGCATCCTCCTAGGCAGGTTTCCAGAACCCGTACCTCATTGGGAAAAAGAAAAAAAGCTATTTCGGATTTTGGAACCCTGCTTTCGGAGGATGTATTTGATGTAGATCAAGGATTTATAAACATTTTCTCACTGCAAGAGGTGTAACAGCTTTTGGATTCCGTCTCTTTAGAGATCCCTGCACATGGTGGAGGACCTGTGAATGTTCTCGTTCTAGTTCTATATTGTTTGCCATATCCACATGTTGCAGAACAACTACCCCAATCACTCCATTGTCTCCAGGGATTCCAGTGACAACCTAGAATTGAAGTCTTTAATTGGATGTATGACAACCTTTGTGAATTATTGTGTTTTGTGGACTATGGCATCGGTTTTGTAGATAATTGTTTACCCTTTGTTACTCTAATGGATTTCGAGATTTTGTCTGTCTCATATCAATTGAGACCGAATGGTTCATGTTGTATGAGTTCCAGTATCTTCAGATAATGTTAATATCAAGAGTATTCGTTTTGATTTTTATTACATTTATTCGTCAGCATCTATTGTAATGGTCTTTACTATGAGTGAAATGCCCCGTGGATTTGTGGCATTGGATTGTTATAGTATAATAGTTCTTGCATGTTGGAGGCTGGAGGTACTAGACTATCTTAAATAACTTGTCAGATCATCGTTTGGGATACTTGGGATTTGCTTTCCTCATGAGTTGTTGTGGTCGTTAATGTTTCATTTTCTTGATCTGTTTTTGAACACCTTTTATTATTTCGTTGGCACGTGTGCATTCATATTAATCATTATGTAAGGATTCATCAGTTGAATAGCTGTCGTTTTGGTGGATAACTATACATATATGCATTCGGAAAACAATTATTACCATGATAATTTATCATTAATTCGAACATGACTGTATTCACGCCTTCTATAAACTGTTAACAAAGTCAACATTTCACCCGGGATATATTCGCGATCAATACCCCCGGTAATACGTGTAATGTGTGACGTCATAACGGTGGGTCGTCTTAATGGCGTACCATGATGAATATTCGAAACAATTTGGTGAGTTCTCATGCTCGAATCGCAATATTGACCTCAGAGCAGGGGTATATCGTTGAATACACCCCTTAGGGCTAGGCACAATAGCTTTCGAACTCCTCACTCCCTTCGGTCGTTCGGGGTACAGAAAACGTTTGTGCATAGCCCTGCGGGGTGTATTCGACAATATTACCCTTGCTTTTCGGTCTATATTTCTTAAATACAACTTACATAATGGACCATGGCATTCTTTACTTTTAGTTTCAGTTCTGGTTTCCAAATGAGGCTGGGGACAATCTGACGATCGTGTTCGAGTCCCTGTTCGCCGACATGTCACAAAATGCCTGCCGTGAAAGCATCTGGGACATGGATCGCAAACCCAGTCCGACCATATCCATGGATACCATTCACAGGGAACTGTAATCAATGGTGATAAACTAAAATACTAATACAGGTGCATGATCAATATTAGTAAATAATGGTAGTAACTATTGTGAAGATACTATGGATCAATTAAAGTGAACATTGATGTGGACATGTTAAAGAAGATCAATAATATTTCAACTGATTACAAAAGCACGTTTTTATCCTAACATAATTTGATATGAAATTCACTATAGGAAAAACATTACATACCACAATAACATTTATTCCAATCAAATATCCTGAAGATTTTTCCATATGGACACGTCTTTAGTGTGTAATTGCCAGGGTTAGGTATCTTCTCACACTTGTACTTGTTATCGTGATACGGCTGGTGCCATATACCAATACGAGTATTGTTTTCATTTAGGCAACACCACTTCTTATTTGTATACCGCCAATGTGGCGGTGGTGGACAACCTAAGAAGGAAAAGATCTGCATCCGCTCAAATTGCCCCCTCAGTTTATTTTTTATTTTGAAGTACGAAAAAGCTTAAACGAGGAAAACTGGAAGATGTAAATCATTTCTAAAATACATAAGGTGTTACAACTATTCGACGCAAGGATTTAGTTTCATTCTCACCACATTATTACATCACCATATTATTACATTTATTCGTCAGAATCTATTGTAATGGTCTTTACTATGAGTGAAATGCCCCGTTGGATTGTTATAGTATAATAGTTCTTGCATGTTGGAGGCTGGGGGTATTAGACTTTTTAGATTACTTGTTAGATCATAGTTTTGGATGCTTGGGATTTGCTTTCCTCATGAGTTGTTGTGGTCGTTAATGTTTCATTTTCTTGATCTGTTTTTGAACGCCTTTTATTATTTCGTTGGCACGTGTGCATTAAATCATTCACATGCAATGATTCATCAGTTGAATAGCGATCGTTTTGGTGGATAACTATACATATATGCATTCGGAAAACAATTATTACCATGATAATTGATCATTAAATACAACTTACACAATGGACCATAGCATTCTTTATGCTTAGTTTCAATTCTGGTTTCATAGTGGGGGTGAGGACAATCTGACGATCGTGTCCGAGTCCCTGTTCGCCGACATGTCACAAAATGCCTGCCATGAAAGCATGCGGGACATGGATCGCAAACCCAGTCCGACCATATCCATGGAGACCATTCACAGGGAACTGTAATCAATCATAATACACTAAATACTAATACAGGTGCGTGAGCAAATTTGTAAATAATGGTAGTAAATATTGTGAAGATTCTACGGATCAATTAAAGTGAAAATTGATGTGGACGTGTAAAAGAAGATCAATTATATTGTAACTAATTAAAAAAATCATATATAGGAAAAACATTACATACCACAATAGCATTTATTCCAATCAAATATCCTGAAGATTTTGCCATATGGACACGTCTTTATTATGTAATTGCCAGGGCCAGGGATCTTCTCACACTTGTACTTGTTATCGTGATACGGCTGGTGCCATATACCTATGTTATTTTCAGTGAGGCAACACCACTTCTTATTGGTATACCTCCAATGTGGCGGTGGTGGACATCCTACAATGTAAGAAGGAAAAGATCTGCAGAGGGACGGTCAAATTGCCCCCCTCAGTTTATGTTTTATTTTGAAGTACGGAAAAGCTTAAACGAGGAAAACTTGAAGATGTAAACCATTTCTAAAATACATGAGGTGATACAACTATTCGACGCAAAGATTTAGTTTTATTCTCACCACAGGGTGGATTATCACATGTCACCTGGCAAGTTTCACTTGAGGGTCCATTACATTCATACGGACCTAATACGATTCGTTTCGTTCGTGTTCGTGTTCCATATCTCTTTCCAGGTCCGCATGTTGTAGAACATGGTTGAAAGTTCTGACATGGTCCCCAATCATTCCATCTACACCCTACAGTAGTGCCATCATTCCAATTACGGAACGTATTGTACATGTACAGGGTGGTCCAAAATAATGGGACAATCGTACTTCAAAAATAAATATTGATTTTCCTGAGGAAAACATGTCATATTATATACCAGTGGATAGGGAATTTACTTATCTTTAATTTGGTATATCATGAGTTCAAATCTATAATAATGTCTGTCAACCAGCGTCCATAATATAAATGACGTCATTTTCGTTTCAAAACAGGTTTTCTGAAACTTGCAAAAAACAAGTTTTTTGACAACTTGATTTATCTACCATTTTAATCAATTATAGCCCTCAATCATGGCCTAAACTGGTCAAATGTATCATTGACATGCAGCTGAGACAGTGAATTTGACTTCTCAATAATTCTGTCCTTAAGGGACTGTGTATATGTAAGGGGTTCATGGTAATTCTGTAAGTTTTCCAAAAACGTGGTGGTTGCAGACGTTGACATCCGACTTTCCAATTATGTTGTTTTTGGACCATCCTGATATGAGCTCATTTTCAAATCATTACATTTTTTAACAAGATGGGGCTCCAAGCAAAAGATCTCACAAGAGTGTCAAATGTTTAAAGAAAAATGTCCCTAGATTCATCCCTCTTAATCACTGCCTCGCCCAGATCACACGATTACCCAACGTCTGCGACTGCCACGTATGGGGAGGACTGGCAGAATTGGTTTACCATAAATCCTTACAATCTATTAAGTCCCTTAAGGACAGAATTATTGAGAAGTGAAATTCATTGTCTAAACAGCATATCAATGATGCTATTGACCAATTGATCAAGATGGTGGACATATTGAACATCTGTTTATGTAAAGAAAATTGACAATAAAACTTGGTTTTTGCTAGTTTTGGAAAACCACGTTTTGAAACGAAATGACGTCATTTATATTATGGACGCTGGTTGACAGACATTATAATACATTTAAACTTATGATACAGCAAATTAAAGATGAGTAAATTACCTATCCACTGGTATATAATATGACATGATTTCATCAAGAAAGGAACGTCCTCTGAGGTACCTGTAATAACCTATCGCTTATATTCCCAAAGGAGGAGGGAAAGTATCGCAACAGATTTTGGACAGTCATACATTGGATTTTGGTTATTTTCTGAGGATTTGAACAGGTGCATATGTTACGCCAATGCATTATCTCCAGGTAAAGCACTCATAGAGATGATAAAATAATTTTGATTTTGAAACAGGGGAGATGCAAACAACCCACCCACGTGTTTTTCTGAAATGTTTTCCTGACTTTCAACCCCTTCCGCCCCTGCTTTTTCAATTTTTTGCTTCAACATGTTGTGTTTTGAGACAAAGACAACCCCTTTAAAGGAATAAGTGATTCCTCTTCGATAAAGTGAAAAACAATATTCCCCATGTTATTTACCCATAGGGAAAACTCATGCGATCCATTGCTTTCAGCTAATTTTGGTCACCCATAATGTATATCTTTAAAACCCCAGGAGGAATTACATATTCCTTAAAAGGGGTGAACTGTGTGTCAAAACGCGACATATTGATGCAACAAAAAATGGAAAAGCAGGGGTGGAAGGGGTTGGAACTCAGGACAACATTTAAAAAAACGTGTGGGTGGGTTGTTTGCATCTTCCCTGTCTCAAAGTCAAAATTATTTAATATTGTTATACATTATCTCATATTTTATCATCAAATATGCGATACCCCCTTTTTGATGGCCGTAATAATGACTGCGATATTAACCAGTGAATATCAGATATACTGATATCATTGAATATCCGATACTTACCTTTACTTGTTAATATCCGACAAACACTATATCTAGTAAATAAGCGATACCCACAGATCAATATGAGACACTCAGGTGCGATGGGCCGGGTGAGACCGCACCCCCTCTCTAGCATCCCAAGAAAAAGTCACCAAACCATATTTCACAATGGTAAGATTTTCTAGAGAGCGTAGGCCACTCCTCTTCCCGAAAAATGTAATAATGATTTACTAATATTTATAATGATTATAGCTATGACATGTAAGGAGAGGAATGGTCTGGCAAGGAATGTCCCTTCAAAGCAAGATAGATGAAATTAGGTTTCTTTAATCTAGAATAAAGTTAAGATTTCTTATTTAAAGACAAGATCGGGCCTAGAATCTCGGGTCTTAAGCTTAACTTCGTTCAATTTACTCAGTTTGACCAGCCTAGTTATGAATCTTGTATTCAAAGAAAATCAGGAGCATCTAGTCATGAATGTTACTATTAGAGACAACACCCTATACCTCTTTAGTGATCCCTTGTAATATCTAACATTATATTAGTATGTATTCGTAACATCGCACATAGTCGATAATAATACAATTGTATTAATATACCTATGCATACCTGGAGGCGGCGTTGGCGGCGGAGGCGGTGGTGTCGGCGTAGGACATATCTGGCATTCTTCCATGCATGGTATCACTGCTTCTTTCTCATTGCCATGCCACCTAGGCCTGCGCAAACAAGTGTCCCAAATTGTATAATCAGCGTGACATCGCTGGAAAATAGATAATCACGTTAAGAAAGTATAGTCAGAATCGTTCAAAAAATATAACAAGAGTATTCGCTAAAAATGTGCTGCTTAACTGTAGCTGTGGCTAGATAACAAATGTTAGGATTGAGCTGTTACTAAAAAGATACATTTTAATCCACCATAACTAAATGTAGATATTATGCACATTAATTTTTCAAAAGTTCAAAATATTTAGTCACACCCTTTTTAATTATTGCTTTTTGCATGTTTCTGTCGTGCATTTTGAAAGAACATGACGCAACGCAATATATATATATACATAAGAAAGACATCAACATGCAAAATGGAACCAACTGTCATAGTTGAATACGAACGCCGACAACCGAACACCGCACATAAAATAGTTGGAGACTTTAACATTATGTCATCACTTGTGGTGGTGATATGAAAATGCTATATTACCAAGAGTTCAAAGATAACGTCAACGTCAATGGAAATTGATATAGAGATGACCTTCATCGCTGATTGTTAAATGATACATCCGAGCTAACAAATTACAAAAACAAGATGGCAGATTTAAAATTGGATAAAAACGCATTGAATAATATAATGTTAATTTCTAGAATATTTACAGTAAAATGATTTTGGACAAACATCATGTCTTCTTCAGATAGGTCATGCTCTGGTCCATCTGGAATTTTTGGATCTTGTTCTGCCATCGTGTTCTCGAGTCAAAGATGCAATGGTTTTATGGATCTACTGCATCTTCATATAGTCATTGGATCAAAAGCGGCATGAAATCGGCGATCTCGACGTTTTCCAATGCGTGACAGAGCTTAACAGAGTGTAACAATGCACAACAACGCTTGGCAATAGTATCAGCGTCATTATCGCATCAAAGCGTAAAAATGCTTATAAAAGCTTAGCAAAGCGTTATTTCAAGCGTAACAAAGCCTGGTCGAAGCGGGGTCAAAGCGAAAGGAACCGTAAAGCTAAGTTCACACCAACGGCGCTTTGGCGTGCAAAGCGGCTTTGCACGTCGCATTAAAGCGCCATCAATGCGCCGTTGGTGTGAACTCCGGTATTAATACATAATTCACAAACCGGAGTGATTAAGCTAACACCAACGGCGCTTTAATGGCTCTTTAAAGCGGTGTGCAAGCGGCTTTGTACGGCGCTTTAAAGCGCTATCAAATCGCTGTTGGTGTGAACTTAGCTTTGGACAGGCACAATTGTCGAGGCGATATTTGTAATATTCGGATTTGAGACAAAAAGAGTATTCTCATTCTGGATTGAACGTTTTTGATTATTTCCATTCAGTCCGATTCATGCACTTGTTGAAATAGATAAGTGTCTTATATAATGTGAGATGTGTTTAATATTTTGAACACATGACAGGGTGAAAATATATTACGGAAACGATTAAATACGATTCAGAATTTACAAACCTTCTTGATTCTACAAGTGGTACTACATCGAGCGAGTTTATATTTTCTGCACATTTTCTTACATTTGTTTATTGTCTTCTTGTCGTCATGTCCTTCCGTATCTGCAATGATAAAAATTGTATCGATCTTAAACTTCTAAAGCTAAGTTCACACCAACGGCGCTTTGATGGCGCTTTAATGTGTCTTTGCACGCCGCATTAAACCGCCATCAAAGCGCCGTTTGTGTGAACTTAGCTTTAATGAATCAAATAGGATCAATACTGAAAGAGAAGAGTTTGAAAAATATTAAAAAATTTGATGCATGTGTTTTGAATTCAATTGTGAATATTCTTAAGAATTTTAGCTTAGTTATTAGAAAACTCTGGTAAACTCTTAAAATCTGGCAGAAGGTTGGAAGCTAATTATTTCTTCAGATTACAATGTTTTAACAGAATGAATAGAGGGCTGAGACCTCAAAACCATCGGATGCCGGAACGTAAAACACCAACGGCGCTTTGATGGCGCTTTAAAGCGCCGTACAAAGCGACTCTGCACTCCGCTTTCCATCAAAGCGCCGTTGGTGTAAACTTAAGCTACGTTCACACCAACGGCGAATGCCACGCTTTAAATCGGCGAGCAAAGCGGCACCAAAGCATGGTGCTTTAAAGGGACTTGTAAAGCGGCACCAAAGCGTAACAAAGCTTGATTAAAGCGTCGGGGTCGTAATAGGTCGTAGAAAAGCTCGAAGTAAAGCGGGATGTTCGGCAAGAGCGCCAAATAATTTTAAAGGTACGTTCAGACCAACGGCGCTTTGATGGCGCTTTAAAGCGGCTTGTAAAGCGGCACCAAAGCGTAACAAAGCTTGATTAAAGCGTCGGGGTCGTAATAAGTCGTAGAAAAGTTCGGAGTAAAGCGGGATATTCGGCAAGAGCGCCAAAAAATGTTAAACTGTTTAAAAATTTTGGGCGTTCTGTTACGAATTGCTTAAAGCGCCGAGAGCGTATCAAAGCTTAAAAAACCGTAACAAAGCTCAGCAAAGCCTGGCCCAAAGCGTAGGAAAGCTTAACAGAGCTTGGTTTAAAGCGGGGACCCCAGTCTCTTCACGGTCTGTTATCACTTTACACGCTTCGTTAAGATGCCCCAGGATTTGTTACGATCTGGCATGAAGATCTGACACGAGGTCAGACGCTTTCATCAATATCTGACACTCTTTGTTACGCTTTCATGAAGGACTCTCAAGCTTTCCAACAAATTGAGACGCTTACATCAGGAATTGAAACGCTTTGTTAGGCTTTGTTACGCTTGACAAGCTTCCTCATGCTCTTTCACGCTCGTTCACGCCGTGCGTCAAACGTCATGTCTTATTCAGATAGGTCATGCTCTGGTCCATCTGGAATTTCTGGATCTTGTTGTTCTGCCATCGTGTTCTCGAGTCAAAGATGCAATGGTTTTATGGATCTACTGCATCTTTATATAGTCATTGGATCAAAAACGGCATGAAATCGGCGATCTCGACATTTTCCAATGCGTGACAGAGCTTAACAGAGCGTAACAATGCACAACAGAGCTTGACAATCGTATCAGAGCCTGATCCAAAGCGTCATAATCGCATCAAAGCGTAATAATGCTTATCAAAGCATGATTTCAAGCGTAACAAAGCCTGGTCACAGCGTGAGGAACCTATCAGCGCTATTTTAAGCTTTCCTACGCTTTGGGTCAAGCTTTTCTGAGCCTTGTTACGGTTTGTTCAAGTTTGATACGCTCTCGGCGATTTAATCAATTCGTAGCGGAGCGACCAAAATTTTTAAACAGTTCAAATTTTTTTGGCGCTCTTGCCGAATATCCCGCTTTACTCCGAGCTTTTCTAAGACCTATTACGACCCCGCCGCTTAAATCAAGCTTTGCTACGCTTTGGTGCCGCTTTACAGGCCGCTTTAAAGTGCCATCAAAGCGCCGTTGGTATGAACGAAAATGACAAAAGTGACGGCGCTTTGTTCGCCGATTTAAAGCGTGGCATTCGCCGTCGGTGTGAACATAGCTTTAACTGTTTAAAAAATTTGGGCGCTCCGTTACGAATTGATTAAAGCGCCGAGAGCGTATCAAAGCTTAACAAACCGTATCAAAGCTCAGCAAAGCTTTACCCAAAGCGTAGGAAAGCTTAACAGAGCTTGGTTCAAAGCGGGACCCCCAGTCTCTTCACGGTCTGTTACCATTTGACACGCTTGTTTAAATGTCTCAAGCTTTGCTACGATCTGGCATGAAGATCTGACACGAGGTCAGACGCTTTCATCAATATCTGACACTCTTTGTTACGCTTTCATGAAGGACTCTCAAGCTTTTTAACGAATTGAGACGCTTTAATCAAGGATTGAAACGCTTTGTTAAGCTTTGTTACGCTTGACAAGCTTCCTCACGCTCTTTCACGCCGTACGACAAACATCATGTCTTCTTCAGATAGGTCATGATCTGGTCCATCTGGAAATTCTGGATCTTGTTGTTCTGCCATCGTCTTCTCGAGTCACAGATGCAATGGTTTTATGGATCTACTGCATCTTTATACAGCCATTTGATCAAAAGCGTAATGATAAAGGCGATCTCGAAAATGCACAACAGAGCTTGGCAATTGTATCAGAGCCTGATTAAAGCGTCGTAATCGCATCAAAGAGTAATAATGCTTACCAAAGCTTATCAAAGCGTGATTTTAAGCGTAACAAAGCCTTGTCGAAGCGGGATCATAGCGTGAGAAACCGTAACAAGTCGGGAAATCAGAGCGTATCAGAGCTTATCAGAGCGTAACATTACTTAGGAGATCGTGATATTTTTGGAAACGTAAACATAAATGACAGCGCTTTGCTCGCCGATTTAAAGCGTGGCATTCGCCGTTAATGGGAAAATAGCTTTAAAAATGTGGCGCTCTTGTCGAATATCCCGCTTTACTCCGAGCTTTTCTACGACCTATTACGACCCCGACGCTTTAATCAAGCTTTGTTACACTTTGGTGCCGCTTTACAAGCAACTTTAAAGCGCCATCAAAGCGCCGTTGGTGTGAACGTAGCTTTAGCTTTGGGGCTTCATCATTTTCCTCATATTCTTGATTCTTAAACTTTCTGAAGCACAAGGCTATATACATGTATCTCCTTTTCATAAAGGGCAATAACGATATACATACATACATACACAAGGCATGGATGGAAATGAAGATAAAGTAATTCGTAGTTCGACTGGTTAAGCTTTAAAGCGTCGTGCAAAGCCCCTTTGCACGCCGCTTTAAAGCGCCATCAAAGCGACGTTGGTGTTAACTTAGCTTTAAGAAATTTTCCTAGCATTTCATTCAACAATGTTATTCGAAGGAAATGATTGATTCTCAAAATACCCAATACACTTTCCAGAACCGAGGAACCAAATGAAAGAAAACTTGTTCGATTTATGATGTAAAGACTGGCTATACTTAACTTTAATTGAAAAGTCAAAATTAGAAGTCTTGTATAATATTTTGTATCATACTTACAGGATAGCACGCATAGAAGCAAAACCAAAGTTAAAGTTATTGTCAACTGCATTTTCCTACAATAACTCCAAAGTCAATCTTCCAGTTTGACTTTTAAGAAGGTCTATTCGCAATGTGAATATTACAAATATTGTGCATATATTTATTCGCATATCACTTTGAGCATTCAGAAATGATCTCAATAAATTCAGCAATAAAACCATTTTTTATTGAAAACACTTCGACTAGATCAATGTATATGATTTGCAATATAAAAAATAATCCCATTTGGGTATCCATTTAAAAAATGAAACTTGTAATTATTAAAACATGGTCTATAGAATCGTACCTGATAAAACGCATTCGGGAGACAATGCTTTTATGACATTACGAGCAATCGAATGATCGTAATGTAGATTACATGACAAGCCGATGCACGATCACAATATATTTAAACAACAAGCGTTAGAATCGATGTTTTTAATTCATTTGATATTTTACAGCAAATTATTATAAGAATGTTCACACCAAGCTTTTTTCTGGTACGTAAAAACACTTCTCATATATGTGAAGGTCTAACATTGGCATATTTTGCATATTTCCACTGTTAATATTGCATCTATATGACAGTTTTGTCATTTAACGATATTTTCAAATGTTTGAAAAGCGATATCAAAAGGCAATGCGGATACTATTACAGATCCTTAATTCAATTTAAATATTTTTAAGCAAAGATCACGTAAGACTCTCACACGGCATGATTCCACAAGCCTTTATGATCGCAACCAGGCTGCGTGGTGACTTACTATGTATACTTTTATTTATTTATTTATTTAGCCTCCAATACTGAAGAATAGTTTGACAATTAAAACAATCTTACACTATACCTTATGCTAATTAAACAATTACAATATCATGAATTATACATGAATACATGGGCAAAATTTAGACCCAAAATAACAATGGATACATTGGTAAATCAGCTAAAAAATCTTCTTTGGTACATAATTGAGACATTCTTACATGAAATAATCAAAACATTATCCCAATTTTTCATTGGAAACTCCATGCCTAAAATAATGTTATATAATACCTCACATGAAAGTTTCTTAAATGTAGGATTTTCCTTAATCAAATTTTCAATCATAATCTTTCTGATATCAACATAATTATCACAACCCATAATAAAATGATAAAGATCCTCTAATGAGTTATTATTGCATTTCTTACATTCCCTATTTTCTCTAGGTAAACCATGGTTGTTAATTTCCAAATTATGTATACCACATAGCAACTTAATCATCATATTACATTTTTGCTTAAGTTCAGGATGTTTAAGTCCTAAGTAATACCAGATAGAAGGGATGTCAACATGCAACTGTACAGTTCTAAAATCTTGAAGTTGAATACTCATTGATAAAGATTGTCTCCAACTATTAAATTCAAAATCTCTAACATTGTTCTTACATATTTTTTTCCAAAGATACTTTGACATATTTATACAACCATTGTACATGAAGCTCACAGCATTGTCCAACAATTTATATTTATTTTAAATAGTAACATACTCCACCTGCTTGATGATTCACTAAACATTCAAACACTCTAAATATAAAAATGTTTCTATAAATATTACTGGCACCCAAGGACAACATGTTGAAACAGAACATTAGCTTACATAGCTCAATATTATATAATATTCCTCTCCACCCCAATAATGCCAAGCATGCATCATTTGGTGTATTCTGAGGTAAATTCTGAATAGATTTACACATGTGTTTATGAGTTTTTTCATAGAGTTCAACCTCCTGCTTATTAAAAGATCTAACTTCTGCTCCATATAGCATTTTAGGTATCATTACAGATTGGTAAACCTTAGAAAGTATTAGGGGGTTTAAACCATCATTCCTCATTCTGGCTCCTACACATGCATAAAAATTACATCTTGCATCACTTATTGTAGCATTAACATTCCTCGACTTATCAGAATTATTATTTGCATAAACATTAACACCAAGATGCTTATATGAATTCTCCTCACTAATTACAAGGTTTACAATTGTAATGTTGGTACCTTCAGAGTGTTGTCTTTTCTTTTTCTGACTTTTTGTCTCTCCAAAAACCATAATTGCGCTCTTGGAAGCATTAAATTGAAATCGCCACTTATTGGCATAATTATTAGCAAGTTTTAATTGATCAATTAATTTACTCTTGTGTAGCAAATAAAACACTTTTAGATAGAGTAACAAAAAACAAGAAAAAATCTTGCTTTTGAGTTGATCAATAATTTATTCATAAATACTGTCACACTGTAAGAATGTGACAGCACTGGGATTCCGTCTCCTTATTGTTTCCGTAAATGTAGGTGGACATTTGAATTTTTAGTTCTGCACTGCTTGCTACGTCCGTTTAATCAACATAAATCTAACCCCCCCTATCACACCAAACTAGTTCTTACCCGTTATTACCAATCCTACGTGTGATTTAGAATTTTGAATCGATTCAAAATCGATGGCGACCATACTGTTCTGTAATCAGGCCATGATGACCTTCTAGACTAAGGGACGCTGCACACCGACAGGTGCGACCTGAACGAACTGCGAATGAGATGGACGTATTGAAGACTGTTTATGAACGAAGCAGCTAATCATTTTAGACATATTTCCCGACCACAGCCAGAGTGAGCCCGTTTTACGACGTTTTCGTAGGACTGGCAAGAACGGGTAAGAACTAGTTTGGTGTGATAGGGGGGGGGGGGGTAGATAACTAAAATGGTTACCAGGCAACGTTTTCGTTCAGTTTGATTCTGTATATTTAATTAGAACACGGACATTGCGACGGTTGAGTTTGTGTCCTTGCTTACCCTACTATCACACCAAACTAGTTCTCACTACGTTCTCGAAAACGGGCTTCAACTGTGTACGAACGGACTGGACCTACTAAGAACCGTTTGGGATCTATTTACAAACTTCATCGAACGTACTCGAACGGGTAGGTCCTCTAGAACTTAGACAATGCTCAAAATGTTCTCGTGGTCGTCACGTTCTACAATTAGAACGAATGACAACGTACTAACGACGAGCTGGACATACTACAAACGGAACCGTCGTACTTCAATCCTACTAGGGACGTTTTAACAACGAGTTGAACTGTCTGAGGACGTGTTGAGAACGAGGTAGAACTAATTGCAAACGTGTTTAAACTGATTAAGAACGTATTTAACACTGTTTATGAACGAGTTAGCAAAAATATAGCTATCACACCAAACAAGTTGCCACTGCGTTCTTCAAAACTGGTTTTAAACTGTGTGCGAACGGAATGAACGTAGCTGCAACTTTCGAAGGTCTATTTACGAACTTTATGAACGTTCTCAGACGGAAATGTGATTTTAGAATTTTAAATCGATTCAAAATTCGATGGCGACCATACCGTTCTGTAATAAGGTCATGTTGACCTTCTAGACTAAGGGACGCGTTCTACTACGTTGCACACCGACGTGGTCCGACCTGAATGAACTGCGAACGAGATGGACGTATTGAAGACTGTTTAAGAACAAAGAAGCCAATTATTTCAGACATATTTCCCGATCACAGCCAGATTAAGCCCGTTTTACGACGTTTTCGTAGGACTGGTAAGAACGAGTAAGAAGTAGTTTGGTGTGATAGGGGGGTTACCGACATGTCAAGTACATGCCGTGTGTTCAGCGAAACACTCAGTGGGCCATGGACCAAAGACCATGCCGAATATGGAGACAAAACAGAACTGTGAGAGCATATGGTAGGTTTCATATTACATGCTGATATTAATTATATTATTCACAATTCAAAAGACATATTTCTTAACGTCGGGGAAATTAAAAACTACAAATATAAAACGTTTCTGTCTGCACTGAAAGACAACCAAACCACTAGCTATTTGTATGTACCTCTAAATATGACGGTATGTCTCTTAGTACCAAACACACTCATTCAAAAGTAAATCTTTGCTTCCATTTAACCACTTTGTTAATCTTCTTCAAACTTGATGAAACTTCATATCATAGGGGAGAGCGGGGTAAGATGGAACGCGGGATAAGACGGAACGATGGCTTTTTATTAAAGTATGAGCTGCAGCCGACAATAAAATGGTGGTTGAACAGAAAGATCACTTGATATATTTAAAAAAAGTTTACTTCAGTAACCTCTTTTGAAAAAATATTCAATAAAAATGCTAATGTTGAGGTGAACGTATAGCTTCATGGTGATAATATAGGTGTTCATTTTATTCAATAGAAACTTTAATCGCCAGAACTATACAGGATCTCCGAAAGGAGGATTGGCTCCCAGGATCGAAACTCGATATTTTCCAACAATGACATTTCTTGAAATTATAATCGACTAAAAATTCAAAATAAAAAATTCAAAATATTCTTACCAATATCTCGATCATTTTTTGATTTGGAATTGTTCGTTAGGCAATAAGACCAAAATTCACGATTCAAATGTTAAAGTGAACAAAATGGCGGCTGTTTGACTTTTGTTTGAATTTTGTATCACGACATACTTTATATGGAACAAAGTATCGATGTTGCACTCTGGGAGTCAGTTCTCTTCGTTCTCTTCGAGATATCCATGTACTCACGGGGCCCCATATTCAACCATAGACTAAGACGATAAGCAATATTGATCCATTGAATCGAATTAACTGTGTCCAATTATCATTCATATTAAGCAGAAAATGTGATTTTTGGCTCTGTAAATATCTGCCGGGTTTTGTATTTTTGTTCATTTTAAAAATGGTACTTACATGTGTTTCGTTTAGAAAATGAAAAATACTTAACGTCCTTTCAGTTTCAAATATGCCAAACACCGTAATGCGATGAAACATTTAAACTCTTCATAATATATCTTATACACTAGAAAACTATAAGTCGATTATTTTAGTTTATCAGTTTTATTGCTAAATTAATTGCATCACGTTGAATAAGAAGTATCCTGATTTTCTAGAAAATAGTCAATATGTATATGTGGATGAAACACATGATGGTTCTCAACAAACATATAGCACGACAAATTACAAAACCTTTAGTATATATCATACCGTTAATATTGTTTTTGAAAAAACATTATTCAGTTTTATCGAGTAGGGAGCAACAAAATATTACGTTGAAAATAACTACAACAACTAACTTATCGATCCCTGTGAGATATCAAGACCTTGTTGTGGTATTTAGGTTTGCGATTGGACAAACGCATCACGTGATCAGGCCCCCTTATTCTGTTCTTTGTTATGTACATTAGGCAGAAAACGTATTTGATATTATATCATCCATGATACAAATACGTGCCGTAATGTTCGTGAGATACCCGAGATAATCTCATTTTTTGTAAATGTGTGATTCAGACTTATTTTAGATAGTTGCTATGATCTCAGGTCAGTGGTTTTTATTTCATTACGTATCTATTTTGCTACCACTGTAACAGATAAACACTGTATTTTAGTATGCCCGCGTTGCTAGTTTATTGCGTAATGTTTTAATGAGGTTTATCCCTAAAAGGGTATCACGTAAAAGAACAACAAACCCCGCAATGCTCATTACATGCTCATGTGTTTTCAACATCTCGGTTTATTGCAATTGGACTCATGTGGTGTACTAGCAACAAGCCGGCGCGGTTGATACATGCGAGCAAGGCTGCCACAGCGTAATTAGAGAGCTTTCGATATAAGTGTTCAGCAAAACCTAGAACTGCAACTTTTATTTATATTTTAAATGACGTTAACACCACTAGGGAGGAAGGTTTCTCAAATAAAGAAACCAGCAAAGTATATTTCATGAGAACATTTTTCCTCGTTTTCTAATTGAGGGAATTGATTTCTGTGAATATCATAGCAATAGCAGAATTAATTTCTAGTTATAATCATATTTTGAAACCGAACTCACGAACTACATACTTGCCAAATATTTTGTTGTGATTTGAATGATGGAGGCACCCTATCTTCGTTTTCAGAGTTCCTCCCCAGTGCTATACTTGACTTGTACACGTACAGGTTTGCGTTTACGTATTCCAAATAACTTATATCGAAAGCTCGCTATTAGCAGTTTAATTGGATGAACTGCTTTTGTTGAAAACGTGTGAAAACGTGTAACTTGCTCCGCATAGGCTCATTTTTCTTTTTCGTGATATTTTGAGGGAAAAATCATTATATATTATGCAATGTACTTGCCCACGGTCAGTTCAAAAACGCAGTCTAAATATTGCATATTACATATTTCTATTCACCAAAAGTAGCTTTGAAAGTTACGTCATTCAAATAAGTAGGTAAATATAGGTCAAGTTGTCAAGATTTACAAGAAATTTGTGGGTATATAGGTCAAGTTGTCAAGAATCTCAAGTCATAAGTGGGCAGAAAGGTCAAGTTGCCGAGCTGCTCAAATAATTTGTGGATGAATTTGATAAATATGTCAATTTGTCAAATTTTTCAATTAATTGGTGGGCAAATAGGTCAAGCAAGTAATCGATGGATAATGGTTCAAATAGTTATTGAAGTAATTGGTGGGCAAATAGGTCGAGTTATCAAGTTATGCAAGTGATTGTTGATAAATAGGTTAAGTTGTCAAGTTATGCAGGTGATTGATGGATAAATAGGTCAATCAAGTTGTCAAATTATGCAAGTGATTGGTGGGTAAATAGGTCAAGTTGTCAGGTTATGCAAGTGATTTGTTGGTAAATAGGTCGATTTGATAATTGTCTGCATCAAACACGTCTGTGTACTCGTATGTGAACAATTGGAAAACAACAAAGGTTATGCTGCTGAATATATATTTATTTAAACATATAAAGACTATATGTAGCGCTACATATAAGAGAATGAAATCAAATATGTTGAGAATTATCCATGTAGTAGCCTAGTTTGTCATCGTTTTGTAGATATCTACACCAATGCTAAAATTAAGACAAAAATTGTAAAAACACGGGGATTGAATTTGATAATCCATATCGTTTTTATTTTGATAAATCATCAGTATGTCATGATTTTCATCGTTATTATATATTTTGAACTACCTGGTTATCAAATAAAGAAGTCAAAATGACGAAATTGTTCAGATTACGCAAACATTTGTTCACGCAATATTTTTAAATACAGGGTAACCAGAAAAATGTGAAGAAAAAATGTGCGCAAAACCATAGTCACGTTAACAGTAACATAATTATATTATAATATATCCAAATCTCCAAGTTGTATATGCTATGCAATTAGATCCTTGCAATGCATTATCTACACACAAAAATCAATGAAGATTTGTTCATAATCGAGAAAGTTATTCCAAAACTGGAATGTCCTGTTTTTGGGCCACCCTGCAAGAGGCCTTATACTCACTGCAGCTTTTGTTATTCACCAGGCGCCATTCTGCAAAGGGGGCAGCAACTCCCAGCTAAAGGTGAGGAACCATATGGACATGGGGAACAATGTGCTTCTCGACAATCGGGTTTCGGGGGCCCTAAATAAGTTTAAGATGGGTTTACGCTCTTCTTTGAGTACCTGTGCAAGATCTCTCATTTTTGATAAGCTTTTAATAATTCTTCTGGACGATATCACACAGTACGAGTACAAGAAAGTTCTTCTCATATGACTGTATTATGGCATATTTTCAGTTTTCAACAAAAACTTAGTGAAAAAACGAAAAAACCTTAAAACTTAAAATGACAAAATCATGGAACGTTTTCCCCAAGTTTTTTTTACCATCGTTGGTGCAAATGTAAGTCTGATACTGTATGGGCATGTAGTGTATCGTATGTACATACTTCAGTAATATTGACAACCTTACCTCCGGGTTTATGTCTTCTATGGCATCAAGACAAAACATGCTGTTTATCCATAAAATAACTAAGAAGTATTGTTTCAAAATGAAGCCCTTTTCATAGTTTAAATGTTGAAAAATGCTCAGATTGCCTCGATTTGCGCCATATTTTAAATTTTTTCATTTGCACCCCCCAAAATCATAAGCTCAACATTCAAATAATCGAACAAGCATTTTTTTTTTATTTCTTTCAGTTTGAATGTTTAGTTCGGGCACGTCTAGTCTAAATGTTTCATTTTGAAGATAACCCCTCTTAATTATAACACGCATCGGTATAATTGATCAGAGCTGTTAACAATACAATTCTATACCCATACATACCTAATGGCAGTGGAGGATCATCACATATCTGGCATTCTTCCATACATGGGACCACTGCTTCTTTCTCATTATCATACCCACCCAGACAACTGTCCCAAATCGTATCAACAGCGTGACATCCCTTGAAAAAAGATAATAGCGTTGAAAGAAATAATCTCACGCATCATTCATACTATAACACGTGCATTATAACATACACAGAACTAAATGTTATCTAAATTGCTTGTCCCAGATGCACCAATATTCGATCAATAGATTATAACATTTGTATTATATGTGATGCCTGGGTCACATTTGTTCCGATCCATCGGCAGGCGCCCGGCCGATTGAGTGTTTTGTTCAAAGTATTCAATGTTGAAAAAATAGTCAATCTGCCGGGCGCCGTAGTGAAAATCGTAGCAAATGTGACCAAGGCATAACAGAGCAACATGCTCGACTACACCAAATCATTGCAATTATGCTATCGCGTGGATTCAGTTTAACAAGTGTTGGTTCACTAGCCTATCAATGATGAATGATGAACAAACCGGTTTGATTATGCAGATGGAACTACATTTACTGAGATAGTATTTCTTGCATATTGTCTGACATTTGTAATATGGTTGATGTGGTGGCGACGGTGGCGTTGGTGGCGGAGGAGTTGGTTGGACTGGTGTATGACATATCTGGCATTTCTTCATACATGGTATCACTGCAGCTTTCTTGTTGTAATAGCCCTTCCAACAGTTGTCCCAAATTGCTTCATCCGCATGACAACCCTGTAAGTAAAGAAATCACGTTGACCAGATCCAGACTACAAGCTATTGCTTCTCTCAATCGAATCGACATCCTTGGACAAGACTTATAATTTGAATTAGCCTTTAGGGGTTTATTTTCTAGATATATACAAGGGGCGATCCATATATTCTGATAAAAGTGCTCTCATTTTGTGATTTTTTCACATATCTCTCTCATCTTTTCAGAAAATGTAGATTATGTAATTACACATACAATGCTAAATATAATAGCTACATCTTAAATTATTTATGAGATAAGGTTGCCATGGTAATTATTATTTTAAAGCATGCGGAAATCATGCATTTTTAAAAAAAAGTTCGTTATTGTTACTCCTTGTTTGTTGCTAAACAAATGTTTATTTGAGCTAACTATAACATCACAGTACAGCAACTCACAATAGCATTGTAACATGTCATGAGAAACACCAAAAATCAAAATGTGAGATGAGGTCAATGTGGCTGATGCAGAGTGTGGCATTAACAGATACATAAGGGAATACCATTAGATTTTATTTTCTATCAAGAATAAATTAGAAGACACTGTCAGAGACATACATGGACTCGTTAAGTGTATGGACAAGGTGTTATATCTGCACAAAGAATCTATAGGTAGTATTGTAAAGAGGAAGGCATGGTCACTGTTGAAGATCATCCACAATCTGGTTGCAAGAATAGCTTGCGGACAGAGAATAACACTATGATAAATTGAGATGTTACTTATGAAAAGATAGCTATCCCACTGTGTAAATTATCAGACAAAGGGCAACAGGGGTATGGAACAGTTCAACGAATAGTTGGCAATGACCGGAAGATGCATTTGATCTGCTTAAAATAGGTACTGAGGAATGATTACATGTTCTAAAAAATGAAAGGGACATGTGAAAAAATCACAAAATGAGAGCATTTTTATCAGAATATATGGATCGCCCCTTGTATATTAAAAATTAAGGTGATTCCGAGCACAACAATGTATCATATATATATCAAAGTCATGGAAGTCAATATTAGGCAAGATATTTAATTAAAAAATAACCGTTGGAACCGTCCGGGCCACGCTGTGACAGCCGCCCAGTCAAGTATCGATCGCTGCCTATAGGAGGAGGAGGAGAAAAGAGTGGTATCGATATGGAGAACTGAATTCAACAATGCTTTTCTCTTAAACCAATCATTGAAAACATTCTGTAAAAACACGGTATTTTATGTAATGTTGACTGACTGACATCAATTTAATGCGAAAATTATTTAGAAATATTTTAAATAACTGTTTTTGTTAACATCTTTTGTTTTTTAGTACAATTGTTTTTGTTCCTTTCTACCAATTCTTGAGAATGAAATAAAATGTCTTTCCGAACCTTGTTGTAACAAAATAGCGTATACAACATGTTTTTAGACCTCTCAATATTATAGTTATACAAAGGAATTTTTGGTTGATTTTAGAAAAGTATTCAAAAAATTAAAACAAAATCCCCAAAATAGAAAAAAATCAAGATAAACCTTTTCTTTCATTAACAAGATACTATTTTTTAAAATCAACCAAAATTTTCTTTGTACAATTACAATATTGAGAGACCTAAACATGTTGTGTTTATGTCGTTTTGGTCCAATGAGGTTCAGAAAGATGTTTCATTTCACCCTGGAAACATGATACCAAGAACAAAACAAGTGTTTGATGTGTTTTCTAAAACAATATAGATGAAAGTATTATATATATATTTTTAAATTATATTGTTACCATTCATAAAATGATGTGTTAAATTTTTAGAATTTTTTATGACTGGTTTAAGAGAAACGTGTGTTCAAAAAGTTCTCCATATCGATACCACTCTTTTGCAGAAAAGATTAAATTGAAAAAAAGAACTGTTAAATACGAAGTAGATTTTACATACCTTCTTGATTTCACAAGTTAAACTACATTTTCCGACTTTGTATTTCCCACATAGTTTCTTGCATTTGGTGTAAATAATTGGCCCTTCATGGTCATGTCCTTCCGGAACTGCAATGAAATCTAGAAGTTTGAAACGATAAAATGGGAAACAAATACTGAAGTAAAATTATCTCGAATGTCGTTTTGTAAGAGACCGTTTTTTCTTTGCACTTTTGGAGAAGTCGTCGTGTATATACATGAAATATTAAAAAATGTTATAAATATATCAACACGTATCAGGTACATCTCATGTATAGAAGACGAAATCAACAAAAATGAATCGGAAATATTCGAATGTAGACGCAGTTATTGAACCTGACTGTTCAGTCATTATCCTTACACAATGTCCGGCTACTTTACATTTGGTAGTCTTGGATACATACCGAACGACATAGCAACTTGGTCAAAATGGTCGCTGATTAGCCAAATTATCATTAAGTGTCATCAAACAGTGTGTCATGCATATAAGTATTCACATATCGAATATGAACAAAATCGCTCCTCTAGATTTCAAGTTACAGAAAAAAGGGTTTATTCGTCGACATTACACCTGGTCTGAAAATAAAAAAATCGGGCCAACGGTATTAGGGTTATTGCCCAGATAGACGGACGAACGGACAGACGGAGGCGTTTCCGCCATATCTTTTTTCAAGTCCGCATGTTGCTGAACAACTTCAAAAGTCTTTGCAATCGCCCAAATCACTCTATCACTTTATTGTAAATAGCCAAGGTTGTCAATATTTGAAATTGCCTGAATGTATTGATTGCCTTTTTAAAATGTTTATCCTCATGTATGCTGATGACACTGTTATCTTATCAGATACAAAGCAAGGTCTACAAAGTGGTCTTGATGCGTTAAAATCATATTGCGAGCAAAATAAACTTGTCGTTAATGCTAAAAAGACCAATGTTGTAATATTTTCTAAGAAAAAAACCAAAGAAACATTTAGATTTTTATATGATGGAGAACAACTCAAAATTGAAGACTCATTCAAGTATTTGGGAGTCTGGTTCTCTTATAATGGGAATTTTCGCAAACATGTTAATTTATTATTACGAAATGCAGAAAATGCTATGTATGGTGTCTTAGGCAGATGTACAGAGATGAGCTTGCCACTCGATATACAATTACATTTATTTGACTCATTAATTTTGCCAATTTTTACTTATGGATGTGAGGTATGGGGATGCTCCAAAGCAATGCTCATGTGTGAAAAACTTCATTTAAAATATTGTAAATATATCTTGAGAGTTAAACGAGCAACACCATCGTTTATGATATACAGTGAGTTAGGTAGATACCCTATTGAAGTATCAATAAAAACAAGGATAATTAATTTTTGGAGTAAATTAGTCACAAGTGACACTTTAAGTAGCAAAGTATATAAGGCAATGCTAAAACTATACAAGGAGGGTATTTATAAGTCACAGTGGTTAAGGTGTGTAGAGAATATTTTAAATGAATGTGGTTTTCCAAATATCTGGATATCTCAAAGTTTTGATAGTAGATTTGCACTGAAATTAAGAGTTAAACGCAAACTAAAAGATCAATTTTTCAAAAATGGAATACAAACCTTCAGGAAAGCACATATCATTTATACAAGGCAATTAAGACCAATATTAACTTTGAATCTTATCTCCATCACCCATTGAGCATACGTCTGTACATGACAAAATTTAGGATGTCAAATCATAATTTACCAATAGAAATTGGAAGGTACAATAATATACCAAGACTTTCAAGAATATGTAAACATTGTAACAAATTAGGTGATGAATATCATTTTATACTAGAATGCTTATTATTTAAAGATCAAAGGGAGAAATATTTAAAACCATACTTTCAAAACAGGCCAAATATGTATAAATTAATTGAACTATTTACAAACAAAACATATACAATTCAACTAAGTAAATTTTTACAATGCATTTTGAAAGGATTAAACTAAATAACTGTCATTTGATATTGTATCAATTTTGTATTACATGTATATTGTATATGTATTTATACTCACAGGTGTGGGTAGAAATAAATCTAAACTGAAACTGAAACCATCTACAACCTTAGTTGTAAAGAAATCCAATTACAGAATTAATTATTTACATATACTTACAAAGATGTATATTTTAATATAACAACATTGTTCGTTAGCTACTCAAACATGTAACATATTCTGCTCATTCCATTTTAATACATTTGTTGCAAAATAACGAGAGATATACCGACGTAGTAGTTTGGTCAGTTTTGACATAATTCAAAGTTCTATCAATACTCCACTAGTGTCCTTGATTTTAATTTATACTTTTACCATATTGTGATCTAACAAATAAAACAACAATGCAAGATCCAATATACATGTGTTGAGTGCACGATAGCCAATGCGAACATATGACATTTTATTCTCACCACACGGAGGTTGATCACAGTTTTTGGACTCAGTTTCTTGAGTCTTCCCTTGACATGGAGGTAAACCTGCGTACGTTCTTGTTCTACTTCTATATTTTTTCCCGGGCCCACATGTTGTAGAACAATGACCCCAACCACTCCATCGCCTCCAGGGCAACCTACAATTAAATGGTATCCATGTACATTTTATCCAAACAGAATATTACAGTTAGTTTGTAATTTACAAAGTAAAGAGTACTTGTTATAAAAGGGTTAATGGACCTGCTTATATTATAAAAGTATGACATCTACACATACTTTTATAATTGTCCTTTATGAATAAATTACAGCTTTGTTCTGGGATTTTTTTTATAGCAATGTTTATTTAAATTTCCAAACTTTGAAGAAAGTAATAGAAAAATTCAGACATGGAGTGCATATATCTGTATTATCTTTACATCTATTCGTAATGAATTTTTAGAAATACTCGGGGATATATCCACTTCATGAATTTATTACTCAAGTATAGAAATATATGATGCAATTATGAGTTAGTTAAATCTTTTCTTTTTTAAGATGTTTTGGAAACAATTTGATAATATAAGTCTATTCTCACAAGGTGGATTGTCACAGCGTGTGTGGCAAGTCTCACTTGAGGTACCAACACATACTGGTGGACCCCCTAATATAATTTGTTTCGTTCGTGTTCGAGTTCCATATCTCTTTCCTGGCCCGCATGTTGAAGAACATCTTCCCGAGGTTTTACATTGTCCCCAATCACTCCATCTACAGCCTATATTATAATCAATCTATGCCGTTACATATCTATTAAGATTGCAAGTCTTAATGACGACATTTTTCTCATATATGACCAGAGAATACAATTCGATGTAAAAATATCATTTTATTCTCACCGCAAGGTGGATTGTCACAGGGTCTATTGCAAGTCTCACTTGAGGTACCAACACATACTGGTTGACCTCCTAATACAATCTGTTTCGTTCGAGTCCGAGTTCCATATTTCTTTCCTGGCCCACATGTTGAAGAACATCTTCCAGAGGCTTGACATTGTCCCCAGTCACTCCATCTACACCCTGCATTATAATCAATCCATGCCAATAAATATCTACTAAGGTTGCAAGTCATAATGACTACATGTCGTCTTATATGATCAAAGAAAACTATTCGATGTGAAATATAATTTTATACTCACCGCAAGGTAGCTTGTTACAGGTTGCGTAGCAAGTCTCACTTGAGGCACCGATGCATTTTGAACACCCTGGGACATTTTGTTTTGTTCTTGTTCGAATTCCATATCGTTGACCTGGTCCACATGTTGAAGAACATCTCCCCGTTGCTTTACATTGCCCCCAATTACTCCATCTACAGCCTATATTATAAATAAACCTTTTTAAATAATTTTACACGTCTTCTTAAAGAGATCGAGTCTCCTAAAACACATTTAAAGTACCCCCCTGATTTTTTCGTGTTATTTGATGTAAAACAAGATTGTTTATCAACTTACCAATGCTTGAAATAATTCGTTAACAGTATCAATTTGATATTTGTTCCTAGCCATGAATTTCCACTTACATCAATAGAAATTAAAAATAAAATTTAAAAAGCACGCTCAAATTTGTTCCAGTCTGATTGGCTTTCTTCTTCAGTTTGAACAGATTGTTTTGGTTCAGAAGAGCAATGTTTAAAACATAGATAAATCCCCAAAAATATTTTTTTTACTGTTTTCGACTTATTGTGTTCAATTCTGACAGTTGGTTGTTCTGTTGGTTGTCCTGTTGATTTTTTCAATATATTGGTGAAATTGTGCTTATGATTTGGTCTTAAGATATATCTAAGGTACCGTATATATGCTGTTTTATGAGCAATTATATTGCGACATTACTGATTGTCCAGAATAGAAATCTGGACGACTGGATCTCTTTAAGATAAGTATTCAAATCGAAATTACAATTTTCTCACCGTAAGATGGATTGTCACAGGGTGTGTAGCAAGTCTGACTTGAAGGACCGATACATTGAAATGGACCTGATACAATTCGTTTCGTTCGTGTTCTAGTACCATATTTCTTTCCAGGTCCGCATGTTGTAGAACATTTTCCCAAGCCTTTACATGGTCCCCAAGAATTCCACTTACAACCTACAAGTGAATCAACTTACAGCATTAGGTATATACATTATAAAAGATATACAGCTTTCAATAATAATTATTTTGTTAATATCTTTAAAATATCGCCACAAACATTTACATTCTATCCATTCATGCCACGTTTATCTTAGTCAGCACTTCTACTTTGTACAACTATCCAGCCAGCCAGGTTCAGGTTTAACTGGTAACGATTTTAGTCATTTATAATGTTTCCTTTAGTTATTCCTTGATAAATAGACATTAACTGGGTCAATGTTTTATGTCAAACCTTGCTTTCATGACTTTTAAACATGAGTCGACAATTATGCAGGAAATTACATTTCCAATTGTCAGCGTGTCGACTAGTGTCATTTACAGTACATTTGGTACCATTTGTACATTTTCTGATAGGTATATTATAAGCAGTTATGTCATTGAATTGAATATATGCCTAAGGTCTGTCACCAATATAGCCCGAGCTTGCGAGGGTTATATTACGACAGACATAACTGTTGTATTACATACTTTTATATCATGGCTACGTTATATCAATGACGCCACGTGTCTGTGTGCGAGTGAAATTAGGAAGAAATGAAACATGACGTCCCGATGACGTCATAAGATTGTCATGGTAAAAGGTTTGGCGGCTATACAGGAATATATAGCCGACCTTCAGCTCCATTGACTTCAATACAAATGCTTCGCTGGGTATGTAATACAAAATAATAAACCAGAGGTCAACTTTAATTGTGGCACCATCCTCAGTAAATATTGATGATCATACGAATTTCGTATATGACTAATAGTGACTGAACCTCACTCGACCGAAAATATATAACGTTTTATTCTAACCGCAAGGCGGATTGTCACAGGGTTTGTAGCAAGTCTGGCTTGAACCACCGACGCATTTAGATGGCCCTAAAACAACTTGTTTCGTTCGAGTTCGAATTCCATATCTTTTGCCAGGCCCGCATGTTGTAGAACATCCTCCCGAGACTTTACATTGTCCCCAAGGATTCCATCTACAACCTACTTTATAATTCAGTACACATACAGAAATATTAAAATACATTCCAATTACGATATTTTCTGTTCATATTTCAAAAATATTGACAGAAACATTTCACGCTCAATTCATTGCTGTGACTTTGATACATACCTATTTGTATAGAATGCCAACGCAGTTCATCCCAATGGAATTCATAGGGCATTAATCAACAATACCCAATTGGATGACATAAGGTTCTAATTAGTATAAGTAAACTTTTCGAGGGATTTTTTCTCCATAATCATGATTTCAAACAACTTGAATCTGCTAAAACTCCTCGGATTCCTTAAACATAGACTGATCAAATAGACTCGTTTTTTTGCGGAAAACTTTATTTAACCCTTTAAACAATTGTTATACGTTTTTCACTTGATCCAAATTAAGCATCTTTAATAAAGAAATGATAACAGATAGCATCGAAAATATATAAGCAGATTTGTAATTTTAAGCGTGCAGTTTGTTGCTCAGCTTTAATTCTGTATGGCATTATTCTTTTAAACAGCTATGTATGCAAATATTTTATTCCATTCAGTAAAACTTTCAAGTGGTTTAAAAACACCATAATTTCACTTATCACAATCGCACAAACCGCTTCCCTAATATTAAACAAATACTGGATGACCATGAGGTGGTTATGCCAGAATACCTATCCTAGGAAAAAAATACTAGGCGAGGCGAAATTTACTTTATTATGCACCTCCCTTGGTTAATATCATATTCCTACCATTAATTTACTGTAGATAAATAAAAGATGGTGTCAAGAAATACTTTATTTTAAAGAATGGGTCTACTAAAACAGAAGCCGAGCCTCGAATTGTTTTTTTTGAGGATAGGTACGGTATTCTGGCATACGGGATGGTTGGAGATCTCGTTGCTTCAATACTGGATAGAACGAGATCTCGCTGCCACGTATGGCATAGAATCAGATTTGAGTATTTTAATGAGGTGCATGATAAATACATTTACATTTGTAACATGTTCCCCGTGTGAATTGATAATTTCCTTATTTTAGCAATTGTGATGCTACATCAATAGATTCCTTTCACATTTGGGAAACAATTAAAGAATCTTCTAATGGCATTAGCTCTGGATTCTCAGTATACGATTGCAATTAGACACCGAAATCTGACAGACCGGTTATGGCCTTTTAAAGGTGAAAATGTAATACTATTGGAGTTGATCTTTTGTCATCAGTCCTTTGAAAAAAACATTAATTTTATATCTAAGCACAAGTGCCACAGGGAAATAATGACCAAAATTGTAAAGAAACCTAACAAGTAAATTGTCGTAAATTTAGACCCTACATATCCCCAAAAACCATGATCTAACGGAAAAAAATTATGACCAACTCCTCCCTTCCTCGAACACGAGTCAATATCACAATCTAGGATGAGAACATCAAAGGACATTTTATTCATACTGAAGTCCTCACAATACATGTTGAAGAAAAAATTGAAAAAATGATCATAACATATAAAATAGTTGTAGAGATAAAGCAAGTTAGAAGAACTTTATCCAGGCCATTAAGTCACAATTTTTATTCAAAAATACACTATCAAGCCTAGAATCTTAAGTCTAAAACTGAATTTCGTTTATATTCTCAGGTTGACTGGATCTATTCATATACCTACATACCTGGTGGTGGCGGTGGCGGCGGCGGTGGCGTATGGTGTGGTGGGTGTGGCGGATGTGGAGGGTGTGGAGGTTGTGGTGGGTGATCATCACATATCGTGCATTTTTCCATACATGGTATTACTGCAGCTTTTTTGTTGTAATAGCCTTTCCAACATTTATCCCAAATTGCTTCATCCACGTGACATCCCTTTTTAACAAAATGACAAAGTACAACAGCATAATACTAACTGGTATATTACTCAATCCAACACAATCATTGGAAATATCAATATCTAACAAAATCATTTGCGTTGTAGTCGAGACAAAAATGTTATTAAAATTAATCGAATAATAAGTTAATGAATACTTGCAATTGTTTGAATCAAATATGTGAAGCATTATCGCTATTTCACAATGACAGCATATTATTTAGCATATATGAAATACATGTATTTCCAAACGTGTAATAACAGCTTTGTCATACCCTATTTTTACCTCATAAGAACTACAAAATGCTTATTTGAAACAATACATTTACGTTTTAACGTTTGAAAAGTTTTTCAATTCAGTTTTTATGCTCCTCTCGACGTTTTTTGTTTGGAAAACAATTTGTTTTATATACAATTTAGAGATTTTTATTTGATAATCCTTATCATCTTGCCTATTGTAAATGTAGCAGAATGAGACAGGTAACAGATACTATTAAAATTATGAAACAGGGGCTTTCAATATGATGCAGATTCGACATACCTTCTTGATTATACAAGTGGAACTACTACATCTTTCGACTTTGTATTTCTCACACATTTCCCTACATTTACCAAAAACTGTAGCTCGAGGAACTAATCAGCATCAATAGAATAGGAAACAAAAATTGAATGACAACAGTTCGGAAAATATGCAAACGTTCTTCAACGTTGTCAAAGTTGTCAGAGTTCAGATAACCAGATAACCTGTTTAGCATTAGGGGACAGCGGGGCAAGACGGGCCTCCTAAGAGCAGTCATTTTTAATGGGTTGTGAAGATGTTTTGCTACGGTTTTTGTCTGCTGAGCCGCTGTCCCCTAGTTAAAAGGTGGCCCAAGTGGTACGACGTCAAATACTATCTGTACATCACAAAATTCTTACATTTCACACGCGGACTTTTTACGTCATAAAAACTCGTCTGCTAAAGGCGCTGCAAGCGGTCGGTAAAATACTGCGTTTTGTTGGTTAAACTTTACACAGAGTTCTTTAATAGTGAAGTGAACAGGATCAAAACATACAATTATTTAGAAACATGCTGATATGCATCATGACGAAGGACCTTCTTCAAAAATATTATATCATAAAATAGACTTACCACAGCACTCAGGTGTCTCATTAGGACATCCGTATCCCCCCTTTAGAACTTCTCCACTATAACACCTATATCGACAAATTCCATTTATAGGGTGGACTTCACAAGCTAGAAAATGGCAAATTGTTTCATGTTCAACAAAAATAGGTAGGGCATACATTTCCTATTTTATTGAACCCCGTCCTTACTTGCATCCTACGAACTTCACCTTCATGAGATTGTGTATGCTACATATACCTAGGGTTAAATTGGAAGTTTTGGGATTTTGGTTCGCGAATTCTTGTTAAAACTACTATTAGTTCCATTACGTCCACGTATTGAACACAATTAAAATTACAACTCGCAAATATCCATTTTGCATCATTTTGGACCATTTGGGAAAGTAGGGTTTGGATTTTGGGGCTTCATACTTTTTTAATGCTGTGGGTTAAAAATCGAAACAAACATTATTTGCATTTAAGACATTTTCAGTGTTGGATAACTATTATTTTGATGTTTCATTTGAAAACTTATGTGTGGACTTAAAGTGAAATTGGTAGAATGGATACGTGTATATCTCTATTCTTTAAAAAGTATGTTAGAAACAATAAATGATAAAAATAAATTCAAAGAAAACTAGTTTTTTTATTTCAAAACTAGACTTTTTGAATCGTTCAGTTTGACATGTATGAATCTTGTATTCATAGAAAAACATATAAGGGACATATAGGCAGTTACATTTGAAGATAACACATGTTACCCTTTTAGTTGTTACACGGTAAATATAATACAAATATATGTCATATTCCGCAACGAATATGGAATGTTCACTTGCTGTGTATGACATATTCACCCGCGGTACATGTATATGGCATATACACTTACCAATA